ACTGAGAAGACTCTGAAGGGCTGACTGTCCAGAGAGAAGAGGTACAAAGGGAGGCTGTGAGTGGGACAGCAATGGAGTAGACCAAGGAAGAGAAATCCCTGGTATTCTCTTGGGTTCTTGCCTTTGCTCTGGGAAATGGCTGAGCTGCTTTTAGTAAGAGTGGTGCTGTGGTCTATGGCTCCACTGAGTATTTCCCATGATCAGCAGCTGGGGCATGTTTCTGAGTAGCTCAGGTCCACCTCGAATAGACTGTGGGCATAAGGAAGAGCTGCATTTATTCATTCTGTAATGGCACTTCTAGTGCCTTGGGGTTCTGATCTAGGGACACAGATACCACTCATCTCCTGACCACCACATTTACCTCCGCTCATGACCATTCCTGGAGGCGGGACAGGGGTGTCAACAGTTAGAGGAAGAGGGCAGAGCAAGCAAAGGAACACCTGAAGTTCAAGGCTGAAAGTGGCACATACGCAGAACAAGTAGCCCCACAAAACATCCCATCTGTGATGTTCAGTGCTGCATTTGGCCAGGCCTCAAGGCTACGTGTTCTTCATTAAACTCTGAGCTTCCTGATCTCAGGACTTTAAAGATAGGAATCACATGTCTCAAACCAGACACAGCCCACGGTAGTCGAGAGGGAAGCCAAGTGTGGTGAATGATTAGCAGAACTGCCAGACTGCCCCAGAGTCCGTGGGTGGGGAGGACCGGGACAGCTATTTCATGGGGAACTCAGCTTGACCATAAGAGCCTGTGGAGGTTCTTCACCCACTTCAGACCTGCCTCCCCCACATTACTGAGGGTCCCTGGGAATAGTCAGTGCCATTTGTTCATCATGAGTTGCTGGAGTGAGCAAGAAACTCCTCTGGAATTCTGTAAAAATGAATTTTAAATGCAATGCCAGACTCTTGTCCTTTTTACAAAAAGCTAAAAGCATAGTATACATATACACACATGAAATATACAAATAGACATTACTAATTAAAGAGTTATTTAGAATTAGAACATGTCATGAGTGTTGTACAGAATGCAGTTTAGAGGATTCAAGGGCCAGAGTTGTCATGGGAGAGGCTGTGTTTGGTTAGTTAAGCTGCAGGTTACTGTGGGTGGGTGGGGGGAGTGTAAGGTTCTTTCAGAAGCTCTTTTTAATCTGTCTCTTTTTGATTGTTTATGTCCTTGTCATCTTCATCTTTGTCAATGTTTGTAACTTATCTTGTTTCATTGGGAAATGGCTCCAGGAGAGGGGAGAGCAGCTGTGTGGCCAGGGACTAAGTCAGGGATTCAAAGGTGGCCTATCTATGGGGAATCACCACCAGGCCACAGTCTAAGCCTCACCTGGCCAGACTTTTCTTAGTAGTACAAACAGGAATATGAAAGATAGTCCGTTTGCTACTCTAGAACCCTCTCCGCTCTATGTGTCCTCCTCTATGCCTCAGGAGGCTGAGCTTTATGGACAGCAATAATGATCTTCTTCCCTTGTGGCTTCTGGTTAGGTTTGCTAATGAACAGCATCGGAAGGAGGTGGTGAAAAGGAAGAGGGTGGGTCCAACGTGTTTAGTTCTGACTTCCCCCTTTTAATGGGTTGTGGTAGGTTGGTTGCGTCCGCTCCTATAGATAAATCCACTCTCTAGGTCTGGTGACCACATTTCCTTGGGCCTTCAGGGCTAGATGTGGTTAGCAGGTCTTCACTGATATTAACCTGTTATGGTTTGGATCTGGAATATCCCTCAAAAGCTTATGTGTTGAAAAATTGGCCCCCAGTGAAGCAATGCCCAGAGGTGGGATAGTCAGGAAGTGACTAGATCATGAGGACTCTGACCTCATCAGTGGATTCATACATTTGATAGATTAATCATTTGAATGGACTACTGGGAGGAGGTGGGGACTGTCTGCAGGTGGGGCATGGTTGGAGGAAGTAGGTCACTGGGGACTTGCCCTTGGAGACTATTCACTTGTCCCTGTTCCCCCTTTCACCCTGCTCTATTTTCCTGGCTGCCATGAGTTGAGCAGTTTTCCTCCACCACATCCTTCCACCACGATGCTCGGCCTCATCTCAGGCCCAAGGCAATGGAGTCATTGTCCATGGACTGAAACCTCGGAAACCATGAACCAAAACAAACCTTTCCTCATTTAAGTTGTTATTGTCAGGTATTTTAGTCATAGTGATGAAAGTTTGATTGACACATACCCTTGAGTGTTTTTAGCGTTCCTGTAAGTATTGCTTTAAGTAGTTCCTTTAATCAACAGACTTAATAATTTTACCCCATTCAAGTATGCAATTCTGGGTCAGTAAATGATACAGTAACTTATATCAAAAGTGGGCAGGAAAGACCTTCAAGATGGGAATTTGGGATTGAGTTTGCTCATATATATGAGAAATGCATGAGAGACCTCCCTGCTAGGGAAAAGGGGTCATTTAACTTTCAGCCAAGAGTAGCATCCCAGTTACCTAATCCAATGCATGGACTGAAGTACAGGTGAAAGGCAAAAGTTGGCAGACAAAATGACTTTGGTAAGTTGATCACATGATAACAATAGTGATTCTAAAAATATGGGGGTCAGCTCACTCTTTGGGAGGCCCTAGAGAGCTATACTATCCAGTTTGGTAACCATTAACCACATGTGGCTATTTACATTAAAATAAAAATTAAAGTTAAATAGAATTTGGAATCTGGTTCTCTAATCATATTCATGTGCTCAGTAGTCACTTGTGACTAGTGATTGCCATATTGTAGGACAGCATAGACAGAAACTTCATCATCATGGAGTTGTGTTGACGAATGCCACTCAAGAGGTTTTATAGGGTGAAGAGAGAAAAATACTGAAGTCTTCAAATGATCAATTCAGAAGATGGAGGGGGGAAGCATTTATGCCAATCTTAATTTCTTAGAGCTGCAAGGACGATAACCCTACCCTCCCATCTTCTGGGAGTACCAGAGCCAATTAAGTGCCTTCCCATGCCAGTCTCTAGTGCTAAATCAAAGGTGCAGGTGGGAAAAGGAATAGGCCCCTGAATATATGTGTTTGAGAGAGAGAGAGCAGGTGACATTGAGAACTTTGAACTTCCCAGTTCCCTAGGCTCTTAACTGACTGAAGAACCTCTTTCTCCCACTGGAGAGAGAAAGCCTTCCTCTGCATGTGCCCCTTTCAGTAGCTTCACCTGGAAGGATGCCATTATCAGAGAACACCAATCTTTGTAGGACCCACTCCCAGCACTCTGATAACCTCCAGGTCCATAACAAGAGGAGGTCCCAGTGTAGCCCAGGCAAGGATATACAAGACCTGGTCTAAAGTGGGAGAGGAAATCAGTACACCAAAGTTATTATAAGTCCTCCCCAATAAGGTTTGGCCAGAACGTAGTGAGCATGGATGGGAACTAATGCTCCAGGTGTAAAGTGGAGTTGAAGAGTCGATTGAATCACAGTATGCGGCTATTTTCCTGAGGTACTGGGTTTAACATGTTGACTTGAACATTTAGGAGTGGTATAAATCATGTGCTGGGGAAGCCAGTTGGAAACCTGACTCAAACATGATCCATGTTCAGTGAAATTGACGTACTGGAATTTCCCTGGCAAACTAGAGAAGCACTTGCACATAGAATTTTCTGCAGCAGTGGGGATTTTCTAGAATTCATGCTGTCCAATATGAAGACTTCTAGCCATCTGTGGCTCTTGGGCACTTAAAAAAAGGTGGTCAGTGCAACTAAGAAACTGGATTTTAAAGTTAATATCATTTTAATGAATTTAAATTTAACACATTTCTGGTAGCTACTAGATTAGGTGGTGCTACTCTAGTTAAAGGAGTTGGCAAGCTCAGGAGAATAGGAACATAAGGGCCACCTGCTCCGACACCCCTTCATTATAACCCCTGTGGGAACTTGGAGGAGACTTGCTTTGTCTTCGGAGCCCACCCTGGCTGGGTCCTCCAGGCTTGATATGAGGTTATTATCTTTCACTTTTGAATAGCTTTTCTATTCCTATTTTTTTCCCTCCTTAACCCAAATGTTATCTGGAAAAGCTTCTTTTAATTTGCAAATAAATTGTTTTTTTTCTTTTACTATTTTTTATGTTGATATTATTTCTGCTCTCTATTTTTCTTCATAAACATTCTTTGAAGTGGTATTCAAACTTCTCTCTTCCTATTAATCTTTTACATGATGTGATTATATCTGAGATGAGTGTTATTTGGTTCAGAGTGTTTATTTTTCTCTTTATTCCTATCAAGTTTTGTTTAATGATATATGCATAAATTTAATCTACCTTATCAATACCATAAGCTTCATGATTATTACATCTTCTTGGTGAGTTGAATATAATAGAAAGAAGAAAACATCTTTGTTCCTCATCTATGTTAATGAGTCTCACCTTTAGTTTTCTTTTGTCTGATAGTAGCATAGCAGCATCTGCCTTTTAAAAATTAATTTTCCAGTGGAGATGCCTGTGTTTTAACCTTTTTGTGTCCCATCATTTTAAGCATATATTTTGTGGATACTATGTAGTTTGACTTAGAATTTTAACCTGTTCTGGAAATCTGTGTTACCTTGATAGGGGGATTTAAGATATTTAAGCTTATTGTGACTCTTGATATATTTGGACTTACTATTGTATTTTGGACCCTAGTTTTTTCTTTTAAAAAAGTTCCATAAAAATGAGTAACTTAAGCATTTACTAGAACAAAAATTTCCCCTAAAACAAAGCTAGGTCTGTTGGAATAGAAGGCTGGAGGAACTGGAGGTCAGTAGCACATCACTGCATTTTTATGTTCTCCAACTGTCCTTAGCATTGCAGCTCCAACTGTATCAAACCTTACAAACAATCCCCCTGAATCGTAAGATCATGACATGTCACATAGGCAAATTTGTCCTTGGCTTCTCAGGACACCAGTAATTAGTTCTTAATTTTTTGTTCCTCAAGTAAATGAACTTTATATCTGAGATTTAATGAAAGTCAAGACTTCCTGGCTGGAGCTTCCCTGGAGCAGCGCCGTCTAACACAGCAGTTACCAGTTGGTCTTCTCTGCCACCAAGAAAGAGCAGAAGATTCTGCAACATCCTAAGAAGCAACAGGGTGAGGTGACTAGGAGTACGGAGTCTGGGAATACCCTGAAGCTACTGGAATTTCAATTTTGTCACATTTCCTGCCATTTAGTAGTTATGAGACCTCAGCTCAATAACCTCTCCAAGTCCTGTTTTCCTCAATGTTAAGTGAGGTTGACAATAGAATCACCTCCAAGGATTAGAGGAGGTGATCAATCTATGTAAAATCATACAGCAGATCCTTGGCACAGAGTAAGAACTCTGAAAAGGATAGCTGATATTATTAGTAATTAATAGTAAGTATCTTAGTCCACACACAGGACTGTAGACAAGACTGTTTTCACATAAATTATTGTTTCCTTAGTCCCTACAGAAGGACAGCCTTGTTTCTGGAAGGCACGTAACTCTCTACAGAGAGACATCACTTGCCTTGATAACCCAGAGCTGATTGAAGATGGCAGCCCGTGAACAGGGGCCTGAGGCTTAAGCAGGTGCTACAGTCACTGGTCTCATCCTTGCAACCTTTGCCCTATTTTTTACCTATTCTCAGTTGTTGCATTAGGAAGAACTGGCCTTAATGAAATATTCAGTCCCGGACCTTTTCATGTCCCAAATTAACTTTAATGAGCAAACAAGGAAAGATCAAGAGACCCGCCACTGGAACTTCGGGGAACTTTGAAGCAGAAGCCAGGATGGGGTAGATGCCCTCTGGCGATCAGCCAGCGTTTGCTTTTTGATGACAGCAAACCCTCAGATCTTGTTCATCTGGGATGCAAACAAGGGGCTGTGGTACCAGAATATCTGAGATTCCATCTTTTGCAATGCACACACTGTGTGCCTCATTCAACAAACGAGTTGAACATCTGCTGTGAGCAAGATGCTTGCCCTAATGCTGTGATTAAATGCTTTGGGTTAATGTCTGGTGAACAAGACACTGTCTCTGCCCTTGAGAATTTCATACTCTAGGACAGGAAATTGTATGTGCACAAGTAGCCATAGTAGGAGGGAGGACTGATATGTCGCGAAAGAGATATAAAGTTTATTGAATAAAGCTGTGAGCCTCTCACCTTGGAGAGAACTGAGATGGCTGTATATAGGAAGTTAGATGGGAACTTCCCTTTTAAGAGCGGTGGGATCTGAACAGGAGTGTAGTATTTTTTAGGTGGAGCACAGACAGTGAGTACTGGCAGAGAAGTTCTGAGAATGTTCTGGAAACAATAAATTGCACCTACCCAGTATTCTGTGTTTTGATGAGAGAAATCTCTCAATCACCTTGAGCCTCAGTTTTCCCATAAGCAAATTGAGGCTAGGTCTATCTTTATTCATTGTGGAGATCAGATGATTCATATTGTAATAATTAAGGTGTCTAGTTCATTATATGCTCTCAAATAATGGTGGTTAGCTTCTCCCAGATCTGTTTCTGGTTTTCCCCTTTCTCTAGTCCCTAAGCTGGTAAAAAGCAGATTCCCACAAATTTCTTCTGGGATGTGGAGTTTGAGTGCAAAATAAGGAGCTGAAGATCAACGCTGACATTTTAGGATTGCCACAGGTAGTCCCCAGCAAGGTCAGTGCCCTACTGTCATAAAAGGACCCCAATATCCTGGGTAGAATGAGTTCTGAACTAAACCTTCTGAGTGCCCCCACTGTTGTCTTCCCTGTTACAAACTCCAGAGTGACATGGTCATCTTTTCCACATGTCCTGTCTCTGAACAGTTCCTTCCCTACTGCCCCAATCTTCTGGTTGAAGACTTTCCCAGCAAGGAGCTTAAGAATCCATCAGGTGCTCTGTTTGTAGCCACATTGACTTTGTGGACATTCTCAGGATTGGTGGACCTCCTCTGGAGCCATACATTGCGTTTTCATTTATGGTACTCAGTTCAACACTGAAACAGGATCCTAACTTCAGCTCCTCCTCTTGTCTGAGTTTCAGCAGAGGCTTCAAAGACTAGTAATAAACTGTCCCTGGGACAGTCAGATTGTCACTTCTAGGGGGATGTGCTAGTGTCTAGACTGCAGGACTTTTAAAAGGGAGGCCTAGAGTCAGTGTTGTGGCCTTTGTTCGTTACCCAGCTCCAGGCCTAGAAGTTGAAGCCGCTCAGAGATGCGAAGTGGGCATTTCCTGCAGAGAGATATGCACTGGTGTCCCATGCATTTCCTATACCCTGCTTCCCATTGGACAGTGGACAGGGTGAAGGATGCCTTTCCCCTCTCCTTCAGCTGAGTGCAATGGGCCAGCCTCAAGGGTATTGTGTGGAGAGCAGGATATGTGTGCTCCAGAATTGGAGTTCCGAGGGACCCTGTCTGACTCTCACTTGGGGAGTCCAGTTGCAAGAGGCTGTCCTGGAGCTGCTCTTGCCTCGAGCAAAAGAGGAAAGTCTTATGCCCACTGTCAGAAGAAGCACAGCGGCTGTTGTGTGCAGGGTCACACATGAACCCCATGGAAGTCAGAAGAACTGGAGTCTCCTTCAAGGGATCTCCCCCAAGAGAACCACCCCCAGAAGAGTGAAAGGCGCCCTAGGGGTTGAGAGGAGGAGTTGGAGGTGCCATCTGAACAAGGGATGATGTGGACATGGAGTTGCCTTCGTGCATGAGGAAGCCACAGAGACAGATCACCCAGGGGACATGGGCAAACATGCCAGCGTTAGAAGATATTGAGATTTTACCCTGTTTACAACCTAACCTTTCCTCCAGTCTTGTCTTCCCTGGGCCCAGCATAGTTTGATGACTCTACTGACTGGGCCTTTATTATATTAGTGGCTGAGATTTTGGTATTAGAGCAAAGAAAACAGTGTTCACCGTTTGCCAAGCTCTTTTGGATATTTCTGTTTCACTGATAATGGCAACAACCCATGGGATGGGCAGGGGATTTCCTCTTGATACTTGTTTAACAAATGGAATAAGTGGTTATTATGTGACCCAGAAATATAGAACTAGAAAGTGACATAACCAAGATCTGAACGCAGACTTCCTGGCTTCAGGTTTTACCTGTTAGTCATTTAATGGCATCTAGTCAGGATTCCCCCAAACATGTTATGAGCATTTTAGTGGTAGAGACCTTTCAAAATTTTTACTTTGAGGGTAATAAGGGCATGTCATGAAGTTTATATTGTTTGATCCATTCACTCAACAAATGTTTATATTTCAGTGGGAGAAGGTAACTGATAAAGAATAAGCAATATGCAAATACATAATATTACATGCCAAGGAAGCGGGGGCGGGGGGAGTGAAGTAGAGAAAGGGAACAGCATGTGCCAGGAAGAGGGGGTGGGAACTGCTAATTTGAAGTAGGGTCATCAGTGAAGGTTTATGTGATAATGATGGCATTTGAGCAGAAACTTAAAAAGGGGAGCTAATGAGTTGTAAAGATAAATGTGAAGAGTTGTCAAGGAAGAGGGAATAGTAGGTATGAGGGCCCTAAGGCAGGAGCATGCTTACTGTGTTTAGGGAGATGATCAGGAGTCTAATTCTAGATATGTTGAGTTCAAGGTGCCTATTAGACATCTAAATGGGAGTTTTGTTGGCAGTTGTGTGCGCATGTCTAGAGTTCAGAAAGAAGCTGTGTTCTTAGGCAGAGTGAGCCAGGGAGATACTGGTGGGAGACCAAGACAATGAGCATCAGAGGGGCCTGGATTGCAAAGGACTTTGAAGAATATCATGGGCCTTTGTCTTTTTGCTCTGAGATGGGAAGTCACTAAGGAATTTTGAGCCAAGAAGTAAATTAATTAAAACTAAAATTAAATAAGATTATTGTGGGTACCAGTACCATGTTGAAAATGAAGTTTTGGAGTCCAGAAGGAAGCAAGAGACCAATTGAGGGGTCCTGGCAATTATCCAGATGGAAGGTAATGGAAGCATGGACCGGGGTGTGAGAGATGAAGATGGAGAGATAAAGGATTTTACTGCAGCAATAGCACTATCCAGAGCATCTGCAGTTTCCTGCCCCAGTTCCTGAGTCTCAATTCCCCCAAGGCAGCAAGAAGAATGCTGGAAGATGCAACATGGTGGGTTGAAATACGGGAAAGGAACTCTGGGCTGAGGAAGCCTGAATCCTTTGTAATGGACAAGAAGCATGCTGACCCTTCTTAGGGGCTGCTGTCCCTGTGTCCAAAGTTGTTTGTGATGCAAATGTTCTTAAGAAGATAGTCCAGAAGAAAGCCAGTCAGTGTCTCTGTTCACAAGCCATGTAGAAATGAGAGGAATCCATGGAAAATCATTTACAAACACAGTGTCACCCTGATAAAGAGCATTGTGAAAATTTTTGTTTTTCACAACGATTGGGGATGTTACTGTCATTTCAGCATTACCAGTTGTTTAAATCACCATATTCATATCATAAGACTTTTGTGTATAATTACATATACTCCTATGCATATATTTATAGATGTGTATATATATTCAGCGCTTATTTCATAAGGTGAAATAGAAGAAAAAATATTTTCTTGACTATTACCTTACCTCTCTTAAATAAACTTTCTTTGTTAAAAAAGTTACAATATAGTCAGATGTTTGTATCAAATACTGTTGAGAGGTTAGTGAAGAGGACTGACAATCGACCACTGGATTAACAGCATAGAAATCATTACTGACCTTGAAAAGAACAATTTCAGTGGAAAGGTGGGGTAAGAGTCTCTTTGAAGTTGGTTCAAAAGAGCATGAGAGGACAGGAATTGAGACAGAAGTATAAACAACTTCTTTACAGAGATGTTCTGCACAGGGGAGCAGAGAAATAGGGTGGTATGTGAAATCACTAGTGCCTAGCATGTTGGAAGGGCTCAATAAGGTCAGGAAAAGGGGTGTCATGAGCTATGGGAGGCTCAGTAAATGTTGGCCTCCTGAAAAGGTGCTAATAAATTGATAAGGATGGGGCTACTCAGGAAAGTCTTCTAGGGGTCTTTTCTTTTAGTTTTAGAAGAAATGATGGTGTTAGAGGATTAACACAGAAGTTATAGGTAAACTTAACCCTTGACTCTACCATTTATTAGCTGCATGAACTTGGGCTAATTACTTAACCTTTTTAAGTTTCTATTTTGTCATTTTAAAAATGAGGACAATCATTAGCATTATCATTATTAAATAAGAAAAAAACATAAAGCCTCACTGATACAGAGTAACTCTCAATAAGTTTTAGCAATGCAGTGCAAAAATTTTCTTCATGAGTTAACTTTGGACTAAGCAGAGAGGAGTGAAGGGAGAGGAGGGAGTATAGGGGTAGGAAGGATAGTAGAATAAATTGGACCTTATTACCCTATGTGCATATATGACTACACATTCTGTGTAACTCTACATCATGTACAACCAGAAGAATGAGAAGTTATACTCCATTTATGTATGATGTGTCAAATTGCATTCTACGATCATGTATAACTAATTAGGACAAATTTTAAAAAAGAAGTAATTATTACCTCTATTTATTATATAATGCTGTTCTTATATGACAACTGGGATTAGAACCAGAATGTTCATAATAAACACTATTGAACTAAAAAAAAAGTTTCTTCCATAAGGACAGGTGAAAATGTTACTTTGGATAATGATAATATATATTTTTTAACTCCATGCTCTCCCCATTCTCAGTGCAGACCAGGAACAGGGACTGGGCTGAGGTGTATATAGGGTAGGGTCTCTCCACCTCCTCTTTCTGTGCAGTCAGTCTAAAAACACAGCCTGCAGTCTGAACAAGAAGGCAATGACAATATTTCTAGAAAATGTTAGTATAAGCATTATCATTTTCAATTGTAACAATGCCCTAATAAGTAAGAAGAATTACCACTCTTTTAAAATAGATAATAAGGGCTGGAGTGTGGCTCAGGGGTAGAGCACTCACCTACCATGCACAAGACCCCAGGTTCAATTCCAAATTCCAGAAATAAATACATTAATAATAATGATGCTATCTGATTAAAATAGACAATGATTTTGAGGTTCAGATCAGTCATGTCACTTTGCACGTTTATGTAGAAAGAAAAATTAGGAATTCAACTTTGGAAATTGATATTCATCCATTACAAAACACTGCCAAGCACGCATGCTTAGAGAGAAAGGGGCAGGCAATGTTCCCTGGAAGGTGGTGTGCACCCAGGAAAAATGAAAGGGTGCCCCAATTCACACTGTCATGCATGGAATTAGGTGTGAAATAGCAGAATCTCTGAGAATACATGGTTATGCTCCACTATCCTTTGATCTTTGAAAGATCATACATAGGAAACTTCCAGAATATAGAGATGTTCAAAAAAGAACAACAGGTCACTCTTAAAAACTTCAATGGTCAAATGTTTTAAGAAGTGAAAGTGGTGCAGAGAGCCACCTCTCTCACAGCCAACTTGCTCTTTCTTAAGACGCAGTGTTAACCAGTTGGCCCCACTAATTCATTCCCTAGGTAATGGGAGATTATAAGATCTTAAGTGAAGAAGAAAATTGACACTGACAGCAGGAGAAGCTGGATGGCAGCCTGACAAGAGAATTAACTCTGACAAGCAGAACAAAACCTGAAAGTTCTTAGTAATTTGGGGTTTCGTAAGATAATCACCCTCCACCCTACTCCTGTCACTCAAGGTGTTCCTGTACAACAGAACAGGACAAGTAAGAGAGCCATAAAAATAAAAGTTAAACTAAATTCAGAATACTTTATTAAAGATGGCAGAGATGGGGCTGGGGCTGGGGCTGTAGCTCAGTGGCAGAGCACTTGCCTAGCATGTGTGAGGCACTGGGTTCGATCCTCAGCACCACATTAAAAAATAAATAAAATAAAGGCATGCTGTCCATCTACAACTATAAAAAAAAAATTTTAAAAAGATGGCAGAGATGTTCCAATACATTTTAGCAATATTTGTGTTTAAAACCTGAAAAGAAAAACCACCCTACTCCCAGTTTCCTGAACAATTTGATGGCAGTTAAACTGAAGTTTCTTGCCACTAAGAAACAACTTATGTGCCTGGCCATTGTCAAGCTTAGAAAACTAGCAGAAAGGTCAGATCTCAAACTCATGGTTCCTCATTTCCTGGTGTAATAGAGTGAATCAACAAAAACAGTTTGAATTTCATGTTTCAGTGTATCAAGAGAACTCTGCCTAACTTTGAATGTGTGTGTGTGTGTGTGTGTCCCTGCTGTAACAAAAGTTCTCCTTTCTCTACTTAGGAGATGGAGACTCATCAAGAAAGAATGAAAGAATTGTCCTGGCTATACTCTTTATTCTTTATGTTCATAAAGTCTGGATCTGTCTAGTCTCCTGGGAGTGTGCGCAGCTCTTTTTTTTCTAAAGTGAAGGCCTTTCCTGTGATACTCAGGAAGAAGATGAGACAGAACAGAACTTTTAGACTTTAGGGCTTAAAAAGTAAATGGCAGTCCAGCCCTAGAAGAAATTCCAGGGGTTGGAAAGAACATGAGACTGTGAGTTTGATTAGGAATAGAATCTCACAGGGTACAGCGGGAGGCAGATGGGATTGAATGGGAGACACAGGCCTGGGTAATGTCTGAGGTTGCATGGAATGAATTGGCTGCTCAGAGAGCTCTCCTCCTTCAAAAGCCCCTGCTGGCTGGAACTGAGACTAGGGTTGTGGTAGCCTCTTCATTTTACTGGACTGCAGCAGGAGAGAGACATGGAGTTAGTTCATTGTGGAAGATGGGGGACATGGGGCAGAGGTGAGTGGGGTTGGGGGAGCTTGTTGATACAACAACAGCAAATGCACTATTCATGCTTCTTCTTTTCTGAGAATGGCTATTCAGCAAATTTTCTGGGACTGCAGTAACTATTAGCTCTGGGGTTCTTGGAGGAAGGGGTTGGGGAATGGGTTGCAGTGGAGGACAAAGGGTTCATTTGCTGACAATCTGGTGAACAAAGCCAGTTGTTTTCATTTCAGGAGTCAGTGACACTATTTTTGTCCAGAGAGCATGAAGCTATTTATCTTCATAGGTAGGGAACCAGGAAAAAGGGAAATGTCCTTTCTTGCCTGATGTTCAGATAGCCCACACTGTTGATTCTGATGGCTGTTCAAGTGATAGGAGCTATTATGATACCCCTGAGTGGTCTTTTATTTTATTTATTTATTTTTTTTGGTACTGGGGATTGAATCCAGGGTTGCTTAACCACTGAGCCACCCCCCCCCCAGTCCTTATTTTTTTTTTTATTTTGAAACAAAGTTTTGCTAAGTTGCTTAGAGTCTTGCTAAATTGCCAAGGCTGGCCTTGAACTTGCAACCGGCCTGTCTCAGACTCCTAAGTCACTGGAATTATGAGAGTGTACCACTGTGCCTGGCCCCTGGGTCAACTTTTAGAATGATTTAAATAACTAGAAATTTTTGCTCCAAGTAATATGGAAATTCTCACATGATTCAAGCTTCCTCTTTGAGAGGCACATGGGGGCCCAGACCTGATTTTCAGTATGGTGTGACACGAGGCCATTCTGGTACATCTGTAGTAACTAGTTGGCTGAAGCATTACATACCAAATCTTGTTGATGTGCTTAGGAAACTTCAGATTCTCGGAGACCCAAAAGTAATAGACCCCTCCACCATTGTTTACCCCACCTGAGAAATTGGACTGCCTCGGATGGTTTTGATGACTTTATCTCATGAGGGAAATGATGCTAGTGAGAGCAGGCAGGTCTTACTAATCATGTCCTTTAACATGGATCATGGGTTTTTTTGGGATCTTTCTGATGGCTCCAATCCTGATCTTCTGTATTTGGCTTCCTTATGTCTCTCCTCCCAAGGAGAGGAGATTTAGAGATTCTTTTCAGGTGGCCTAGGACTCAATTTCAGTCCAGCAATGTTTTGTTTTTTGTTTTTTTTTCTCTTTCCTGAGTAATGAAGTTTCCGGATTGGAATGGATCAGGGAAGGAAGAAGGTTCCCATTGAGGACCTCTTATGGGAGGAGGCTGTGGGACACCCATATGCACACAGTGGCTTGGCTGAACGCTGTCCTGAGAAAAAAGCCCAGTGCTCATCTAGATGTGAGAACTGCCCCAACACAGACACCCTCGCTCTGTCTTGAAGATGAACTTCTTACTCCAAGAATTTCCATTTGTAGCAACACGGCAGACTGATGTATCTAATCTCTGACCTCCCACCCCTGCAGGAAAAGGCATGCTGGATAAAATAAATAAGAGGAATCGGGAAAATTTATATTTGTGTTTAGCCAAGATCTAAGGAGAGAACCCAAACCTCCAGGTGATAAACCACAATATTCAACAAACTCATGGGTTGACCCCGAAGCAAACTGAATGGGACAGGACCCAGATACAGGTTCTAACAGTTGGGAATGTATGCTGCTGAGGACAGGAGATACAGTTTTAGGGAACTAAATCAAGATTCCTGCATAGAGGCTGGATTTGTAAGTGTGGCCCCTTAAATGTGAAGAAGCCTGAAACTTCTACCAGCAAAGAAAAGAGTAAGGAAGCTGCTCTCTGCTGAGAGTTCAGGGTAGAGAATGAAATGAAGCTCCGGTGACAATCCAGACCTCTCCCAGTCCACACTGCTCAGGTTCAGGGGATGCAGGAATCCCAACCAAGATATTAATGTAAAATCTATCGCAGGATTAGTGAAACTCTTGGGGCGCCCAGAAGAAGCAAAGGAATCTCCCAAAGGAAAAAGCAAGCCCAACTGAAGTGGGTTCATGGTCAAATTCATAGCCTTTGCCTCAGGAGACTGTTATTAGTTTTCTAGGGCTGCTGTGACAAAGTACCACAAACTGAGTGGCTTAAACAGCAGAAATGTATTGTTCATGGTTCTAGAGGCAGATTCTGAGATCAAGGTGCCAGCAGGGTTGACTCCCTCTGGGGACTGTGAGGGATGGGGAATCTGGTCCATGCCTCTGTCCTAGCTTCTGTCCTAGATTGGTTTGCTGCCGACCTTTGATATTTTTTGACGTACAGAGGCATCACCCAGATCTTTGCCTTCATTTTATATCATGATTTTCTTGTGTCTGCAACCAAATTTTGTCTCTTAATATAAGGATACCAGATACTTGAGATGGGGGCCCAGCCTGCTCCAGTATGACCTCATCCTAACTTAGAAATTATATCTGCAGTGACCCTTTTCCCAAATGGGATTTTATTCTGAGGTCCTGGAGGCTTTAACATGAATTTTCGGGTGTAAATTCAACCCATAATAGAGACAACGCCCCAGGAGGGTCCGCTGGCGGCACATACAAGGGGGGAGACTAGCTCCCTGAGAATGTAATAGAACAATATGACAAAGCCAAGGCGCTCAGCTCACTCTGCTCACTTCCTCAACTGTCACAGGGAAGGTACGTCCTTCACCTAACGTTGTGAGGATCAGACTAGAAAATGTTCAGACAAGCTCTTGGCTTTAAACTGATGCACTGCGCTAACATTACTTTTCATTTTATTTTAATCAAAAATAATAATTCCCATTTATGCTACAACCACATTATTTCATTCAATTCTTGTGTATTTATATCCTTGTTTTGAATATAAGGAGATTATGGCTTAGATAAGCCATTTGCTTAAAGTCGCATGGCTAATACGTGGCAAAGGCAGAACTGAAACCTTGGCCTGTCAGAACCTAAAGTTTGAGCCCTTATTGATTCTGAATATTTCCTGGGTGTTAGGGCTGTGTTCTAGTAAGGCTGAGGAAGATGCAAAGGAAAGGAGACATGCTTTGACCTGAGGAGGAAAATCCAGCCCAGTGAGAATGGTAAATGGAGATTGATTTAAAAAGTAAATAAGCACAGTGTAGGGTGTAGGGAGGGAAACAGAACAATGAATGACACTCCTCCCTAGAAGAGACTGGGGGAGCAAATAAAAGATGTGCACTATAGAATCGAGGTGCAGGGGAGGCTGTGACCCCAGAGTGGGCAACAGTGGGGAGACAGGGACCAGGAAGGCAGGGAAGCCTGCCGGGAAACACAACATTGGTCCTGATTTGGGGTGTGCCAGGGAATATGATATGCTTTAAATTCCAACTCTACTGATAGTAAATAAAATTTGTAGGAGGCCATCAATGTGGTCGAGGCTCCTCCACTGGGCCCAGCTGACCAAACCAAAATAGAGCTTAATCACAGTCACTGAGCTCACTACAGGAGGCTCTGTGACCAGTTAACCAAGTAAGCTATCATGAATTGCCTCTGCGTGTCCCTCCCACAATCTATAAATGCTGCTGTCAGATTGTTAGTCAGAGTTGTCAGAGCCTATTTTGATTCCGGGGGCTGCAGTATTCATGATTTGTTTATATTTTGTTTTGTCTTTGTTTTTCTTTGCTCAAATAAACTACTAAATTTTGTTGGTTGAAAGAATTTTTTCTTTTAATGCTGTTTATGTGTTGTGTAACCTTGAACTACTTGCACTCTCCAAATCTGTTTCTTAAACTCTAAAATGGAATATTTGGCCGTAATAGCCATCTGCCTTTTATTCTTATAGACCCCATTTTTAATTAGCTATTTTGTTATTATTTTGGTATCTGCCCTCTGTCCTCTCAGGTGCATCAGAGAGCGGGGGCATGAACACCAGCTGTGGCTGCAAGGACTGAAGCAGTTTGGGCTCAGCCAGGCTTGTGGCTCCCTTGCTGGTGATGGGTTGAGGTGCAGGTATGAAATCCAGGCTCAGTCAGGGAGACTCAAGGGTAGCTTCCAGGAGAATCTCTGGGTGAGTCCCTCCCCTGTCATAAATATGAACAATAGGAAAAAATGTACTATGGGTCCCTATAGATATGTTATAAACATATAAAATAAAGCTCCTTTCTGTGTCTGCACATGTGAGGGTATGGTGTCTTGAAACCATGTTGGTTGCTAACATGAGGATGAGGTCAATGAGGATGGCAGAGAGAAAAACTAGAAATTACTGGATCTTGATGGCTTCATTTAGCCACCAAGTTAACCAGCTCAGGCACTGCACTTCCTCTAACATTGTCATTAAATGAAAGAATATTTTTTGTTGTTGTTTAAGCCAATGACATCAGGGTTTTCTATTATTTATTGCCAAAATTTTCTGAATGACTGCTTCATAGATTTGTGTGGAATAAATGAAATAATTCCTATAAAGTGTTTAGCACTGTCAGCTGTTAACAATTATCACTAATGGATCACTTTATTATGGAATTATATACTGCTTTCTTCTGTACAAATATGTCATGTTTCTCTAAATATATGTCCGAGAACCTTTTTGACCAGAACTCAAGATTCTGCTTCTTTAGTGCCCTACTCAGCTGCCCCCTCCCTCCAAAGCACAGTAGATGTTTAATAACTATTTCATTATTACTTAGTATGTTTTTTCCCTAAATGTTACCCTGATGGACAACCCAACAGACACCACTCTTGAGATTTGGGTAAAGATCATGTCCTGGTTAAGAGTGCTTTATTTTGACACTGGGAAGTGAATTCCAAGAGAACCTGGTTATTTTTGAAAAGGGGGGGAGTGTTGGACTTTTCTAAAACTATCTAAAAGGTGCCAGAATCACAGGCTCTATCAGGGCTGGAGATGACACACAGCAAGGGGCCAGTACAGGACTCCTGCCCCAATCCCTTTCCATTATTTTTCACTATTTTTCTACTTTCTCCAGAATCAACTTCCCTTATAGTCCAAAAGGGGGGAAACGATCTCCTCAGAGGCGGTTTGGACTGCCAGGAATCTGTGTGAATTCGTGCATCCACTTCTTACCAAGGTCGCTCTGCAGAGTTGCTGCCAGGGGCCAGATGGCCTGGCATGAGATCTGAGATTCGGCATCCTTTGCTAACTGCAAACATCGGCCCCTCATCCCTGAGGGGTCACTGAGGGCAAGGAGCTGGGAAGAGGCCTCTCCCTGTTCACACACACATCAGCTCCCAGGGTGGAGGTCAGGTGGTGAAGGACTTGTCATCTGGGTCAGTGCCAAGGAGAACATGGCACCTACTGCCTGGGTGGCACCAGCCATTCCACGTGAGAGTTGGGAGCTCTTAAAAGACCTTTGTTGTAGTCTGTCCTAGTCTAGTTTCCAAGGTGGCCTCCTTCCCACCCCAACAGAATGTTCCCACCCTCGTCTTCTCCCTACCCTCCATGTTGTCCAACCTTTCAACTAAAATTTCAGTGTAAATGTCCACTGCTTTGTAAGGATTACCTTGACCCCTCCCCTATCAGAAGTAACCCCACTCTTCTCCACAATCCCACCGACTTCCTTTATACTGTTATCATAAAATTCAACTCAAGATGGCTTAGTTGAGTATTTCCTACTAGGCCAGTGCTTTTCAAACTTATTATGTACACAAATCAACTGGGGATCTTGGTAAAATATAGATCCCCATTCAGTAGGCCTGAGATTCCACAGTTCCTCTCAAGCTCCCAAGTGATGCCAACACTGGTGGCCGGTAGATAAAGTAATAAAGTATTGCTTTTGTGTTGTTCCTTAAGGACAGGCGACATGTCTTATTTATCTTTGTAATACCAGATTTTAGCACAGTATTTGGTTGATTATAGATGGTTGATATATATTTGATAAATCAAAATGGAGTGGGTCAAAGATTAAATGCAAATATATGATTTGGTCAACATGAGAATATTCTTGTAGCTGAGATGGCAGAAAGTGGGGTGAGGGAGTGTGGGGGACTCACAGAGGCAAGGATGAATCCTGAGAAGAACCAAGGCAGCAGCTTACTGATCCAAAAACTCAATTATATCTGACTATTTAGATTCCAAAGGACTGAGAGACACTGAAATAAATGTTAACAGAAGCCCAGTTTATTCATTAGCGTTAAAGGATATGGTGGTGGCTGAAATACTCATGCCTGCTTAGAAGACACCCCCACCCCATGCACTTACCCACCCACACATGCCTAGCCACATTTTTCTCTCCTTTGCAGGGCTGCTACTGTTAAATTTATAGGAGGCCATTGGTTTGATCTGAGCTACTGCACTAGACCCAACAGGTCAAACAGAAACATTCACTCACACCAAAGTTCCACGCCACTAAGTTGAAACAAGGTTGTTATCTGACCTTCCAAGAAATCAGAACTGCCACATCCCTCTGTAGGCCAGTTTTTGTCACATGATAGGGTGGCCCCTGCTGCTCTTTACCAGGAAAGTAACTTTGACAGGAGATCCACTTTTTGATTTCTGCTTCTGCTGTCTTCAGCCCTCTTCTTTCTATAAAGCCAGTGTCCTCGGCTCAGCTCATCAGAGCAGTTTTGTAGAGTGAGATGCTACCTGATTCTAAAACCACAAATAAAAGTCCATTCACATCTTTGATTTTGTTGTAATTTTCTCTTCTGTCTCTAGGGATGACTTAATTGGTACTCCCACTGAACACTGACAAGAGAACTCAGATTAACTGGATGAACTTGTGGGGAAAATACAGCAGGTAGGGAAAAGCTCAAATATATTTTAAGAACGTTAAATAAATCAATATTTTAAGTTATTAATCTTTATGCTGTATGAGACTATGATGCTCATTTCTTTCAAATCCTTCATTTTTACAGATGAAGAAATTGAAGTAAAAACAAAAGTGGTTCACAGGCTATCACATGGTTATTGGCTGGCAGATAACAAAGTACATGCTGAGATATTTTTATTCTTAAAAACATCCTTAAATATATTCTTCTAGATGATTTCACTTCTGGAATAGAGTACTTACTGTCTCTTAAATGAAGTCTTTCTCCTTGGGTAGCACTGGGGAAAGTCAGATAGATTCTTGCTTTCACGTCTGTGTTTCTGGACTCTGTACTGACCGGCTCCTCCCTTTCTGCCTTCAAAACAACTGATCCGTCTGTAGCTTTTTCCAGTTATGTTCTAGGCTGGAGGATACACTGAAGGGGGCCTCTTAATGGCAGGCGTGTAGCATTGGTGTCTCAGTGTGGGGCACTTTTGCAGAGATGGCTGTTCTCCTCCAAAGCTGACTCTCCTGTCCTCTAGGATCAGAGGAGGCCAGGATTGGGACAGTGTGAGATTGAAGATATTGAAGATACAGATATCCAGGTCCAGGCCATTCTATGGGCTGGGCTGTCCTGTAAATTTGGGGCACCAGAGCCCACAGCACTCACTGGGGAGGACAGCTTTTGTGCACTACAAGGACAATTGTGGTCCACTTTCATTCTTGCCTGGTGCTGAGCTGGGATGTCCCTATACTTCCTGTTCACCATTGGCTTGTGAGACTCGCAGAGTGTACTTTGTCACTAGCCCAATAATCCTGTGGTATCCCGTGAGCCACTTTTTCTGGGCTTCGGTTTCTTCTTCTGTAAAAAGAGAAGGAGATTTGAAAGAAATGAGCTTCAGAGAATCATGTAATGTTTGTTTAATATATTTAATATAATATACAATTTGATATAACAGTATTTGTATTTATAACCCGGTTTAAAATACAATGCTCCGTGACATCCCCATAATTCTACATTTACATATAAGGAGATTGAGTCTTTTTTTAAGGCGATTCCATCTTAAAGAAGATAAAGATTGTCTTAAAACATCCACTCAGCAAATGATTGAATGAGGCCTCAGACACAGATCAAACTTTTCTTTAATTGCTAAGTGGTAATGTCTCCCTGGTCTGAGTCAGAGGACTTTTACCTCCATCTTTGAAAGGGAGAGCACAGCCCCTGGCTTCCCCTTCCTTGCCTCTCCTCTCAGAGCTGTTTCGCCCTCTTTTGTTCTTTCTGAGTTTTCCATGTTTTCTTGCCTTCTCCCTCTCTCCTTCTCTCCATCCCCTATTCATCCTCCTCTGAGCCTCGTGCCTCCTCAGTTCCCCTTACCCAAGGGTCAGCCTCTCTCAGCCTCTCTCGTGGCTGGGATCTGCTTTTATGAAGATGTGGTCTAGATCCTAAATGGGCCCCCAAAGCTCATGTGTTGAGTGCCTGGTCCCCAGAGGATAGTGCTGTTGGGAGAGTGTGGCCTAGTTGGGGGAAGTAGGTCATTGTGGACATGCCCTAGTTTGTGTACCCTGGGGACCCTGGCCCTTTCCTCTTCCTCCCTTTGCCTCCTGGCAACCATGAGGTGAGCAGCTCCTCCGCTGCATGCTTCCACGGCCATGATATTACTGCCTCACCACAGACCCAGAAGTGATTGGGCCAACCGTGGACTGAAACCTCTGAACCCATGAGCCAAATTAAATCTCTCCTCCCCTTGATTGTCTCAGGTATTTTATTTCAGCAATGAAAAGCTGACTAACACATTGCCCCACTCTGCTGGGGTGAATCTGTGGATTGATGATGACAGGAAGAAGGGGTGCCTTGATAACTGGGTGGTAGTTTATAGTCTAGAGCATTCTTTCCCAAGCATAGGGTGAAGAATGACCTGTTTTGGATCAAGGCACCACTGTGGAAGAAAGGTTTGATTCCAGTGCAGATGCATGGGCCCCAACCCAGAGACTATTTTCACTAGGATTGGGTGAGACTTGTAACCTATTTTCAAAGAATCTTCAACAAGGTAATACTGTGCCCACCAGGGCCTGTCCCTGTGGTGATCCAGAGAGTGGTAAGTGTCCACAAGGGTACCTGCAAGGTTGTCTCAGGTGGCAGCATACATGTAGGTCACCAAACATCACTTAGTCAGTTTGGCACTTACTCATCTTACATGTCAGTGATACATCTGGCTCCATCAGTAGAACTCCTTGCTTCTAATTAGCAGAGTGAAATTAAGTTTTCATAGGGAGAAGTTAATAAGGAAAAACATGTGGAAGAGCTCCTTAGAGTAGACAAAAGTAAAAAGTGTTGGCTTTCTGAATAGGACTCCCATAGCTCAGGAAATAAATAGCAAGAATCAACAAATAGGATGACATCAAATTACAATGCTTCTGCACAGCAAAGGAAATCATTAACATTGTGAAGAAACAGCCCTCAGAATGGGAGAAAATCTTTGCCAGCTACTCTTCCAACAGAGGAATAATATTTGAATGTAAAAAGAACTCAGATTCAACATCAGAAAAACAAATAATCTATTTAATAAATAGGCAAATGAACTAAGCAGATACTTCTTTTAAAAAGTACAAATGGAATTCAATTTATGGAAAAGTGCTCATCTTTTGGCATCAGGGAAATGGAAATCACAACTACAATGAGATTCCATCTAACTCTAGTCAGAACAGCAATCATTAAGACCCCAAATAACAAATGCTAGCAAGGATATGGGGGGGATGACTCATTCACTGTTGAGGTGAATGCAAATTAGTACAGCCCCACAGAAATCAATAAGGAATTTCTTCAAAAAACCAAAAATCAAACTACCACATGACCCAGCTCCACCACTCCTCAGTATTTATCCAAAAGAATTAAAGTCAGCATATAGTAATAAATACGAATGTCTATGTTTATTATGGCAAAATTCACCATTTCCAAGTTATAGAATTATCCCATGTGTCCATCTACAAGTGACTGGATAAAGAAAATGTGGCACAAATATGCAATGGAGTTGAATTCCTTCATAAAGAAGAACAAAATTGTACCATTTGCAGGAAAATGGATGGATCTGGAGATTATCATGTTATGCAAAATAAGTGACACTCGGACAAGTAACAGAAGGACATCATAAAAGCAAAAGGGTGACTATTAGGTAGAGGAAGGGGTCTAGGAAAAGGAGGAGGGGAAGGCAAGGGGAGGTATTGAGGAGTGCAATTAATCAAGTTATGTTATATAAGTGTATGAATAAGCCACAGTGGAATCCACTATTCTGTACAATTATTATGCAACAATTAAAAAAAAACGAAAAAAGTGTTGAGAAACATTGGTTTATGCAAGAATGTCTGTATTTCTGCTGAGAAGTTAAAATTATGCCAGGTCAACCACACCCTTTCATTCTGCCTCTCTGTGCCCATGGACAATGGGGCCAAAGATAAGATCTGAATTTACATGTTAGAGTTTCTCCAGCCATTAACTGTGAATGGTCATATTTGCCCTGACTTGTACAGTTAGGATGAGATCTCTCTTTTAATCCCATGGCTCTAGTCATTTGTTCCACTCGTTTGTCACTTAGCACTTAGCATTAGTGACCTGACATCTTTTGTATGTGTCTGTTTTGTCTTCATAACTAGATTAGAAAGTCTTTTATGGTAGAGACCTTGTGTTCACCTGATAGTGCACTAATTTACTCACGCATCTATCAGACAGGCATTGAGCACTGCCAGGCACAGGGATAGATTAAATTTAAAAAAAAATAGTAAGATATAGTCTCTGACTTTAAACATTTCTAGCAAACAAACCATGGCTTGGAAAATATAATGACTGAGATGTGTTTATTTTGTACAGAAAAGTACCCTGCCCAGCGGAGAGGAGGCCATCTTTAACCGAGGCTCAAAGGAAAAATGAGGAAGAGTAAGTTTTCCAGGTAGAGAATGGATGGGGAACAGGAAGACCATTCCAGGCTGAACTAGAGCTTCTGCTACATGTAGAGAGGGGCTGGAATGAGACCAGGCCTAAGCACAAAACTAAGGGCACGAATCTTGCCTCTGAGGCAGTGGGATTCCACTGGAGAATTGAAATTAGCCAATGGAATGATTAGCTCCCTTGTCCCAAAGCTCACCTGGCTGCAGTAGGGTGGGAATAGAGGAGGATGTGAGACCTTTCAGTAGGGCCGAATTGCTGATGCCTGAGCAAGGAAAGCGGGTAGGAGTGGAGGGAACCCCTGGAAGATCTGCTGGGGAAGGAGAATCCAGAGAACTTATTGATTTAAAGGTCACGAGGGCAAGTGAAAAATCAGTATCCCACTGTGAGGGGAGATTTGTCACTATCTATTCAAACAAACAAAAACAGAATAGTTTATGCTGCAGTTTGGATCTGGAGTGTCCTCCAAGGCCTCTGTGTTAAAGGCTTAGTCCCCAGCCTGTGGCACTATTGGAAGTTGGTGGGACTCCGGTATTTGTTATAGTGATGAGAGCTAACACAGTCCATGACCTGGAAATGTCACTTATGGCTGTCTACCCTAAGAAGAAAATTCACGCACCAATGTTCCTTAAGAAGAAAAAGACTAATATGTCTATCAATAAGGATCTGGATAAAGAAAAAAAATTAAATAAAAAACACCTCTATGTAACAAAATAATTCTTTCTCCAACACATTATATGACTGACAGAGAAAAAAGAAAAGCTTGTCATAGAATAGTACATATAATAGGAGTTGATGATCTAGATAAAATTTTAGCTGGGCAAGGTGGTGCATGCCTGTAATCCCCCTGGCTCTGGAGGCCGAGGCAGGAGGATGGTGAGTTCAAAGCCAGCCTCAGCAACTCAGTGAGGCCCTAAGCAACTCAGCGAGACCCTGTCTCTAAATAAAACATTCAAAAGGGCTGGGGATGTGGCTCAACGGTTAAGTATTTGTGAGTTCAATCTCTGGTACAGAAAAATAAAAATAAGAATCACTTTAGCATTTGAGGAAGCCCCTCTACAGTTATCTTCCAAACTCTTCACCTTAAAGTAGACTTGTTAGATATTGAGTCTCACTCACCCACATAGTGCTACTTAGTAGTTCTCTTATTTCTTTATTTAAAATTTTAATATTGAGTGTGTAATAGCATTTATAGGACACATATAAGTTGTGACACAATACTCCTATGTACACCACTAACTCCAAGACCAGAAAAACATTCTCATTATTTTCAGTGTTTTTTGTGTCCCTCTCAAGTCTTTCTTATTCTTCCCCTCTCAGAAGTAACCATTCTCCTGAATTTTGATTAGAGTTCCACACTTTTTGTTATTTAGTTTTGCGTGTTTTTGAACTTTATATATAGGATCATACAGAAAATACAAAAGAAAGGCAAAAGCATATCTAAAAGGAGATAATGTTTTTCTTGGCAGATGATGTGACTATATAAAGTTATTTGAAAATTAGAACAATCTGACAAAATGATTAATATGAAGATCAATACAAAATTATAGGTTCTTATATCAATAATAATTATAAAATAAAATAGATCTATCTACAGCAGCAAAAATAAAAACATAGTTTACCAACAAAAATGGAAATATGTAAGATCTATGTGAAACAAAATTTGAGATATCCCCTATACTTGGTTGGCTGTCATGAAACAGAATATGACCATTACATTCTAAATAAATGCAAATTTCAAAAGAGAAATATTTGAAAACGAATTCACAATAAGTTACTAGCTTAATGAGCTTTCTTTCTCACCAATGCTTAACATTTTGTTCTGTGCATCTGAAAATTTAGATGTCCCCAGTGGTGTCTGACGTGTAGGACACGTTGTCTCCAGAAGAATCACTTTCAGGTGCTTACTGAAATGCTCATTGCAGAACACCACCCTCAGAAATTCTGAGTAAGAGTTCTGAGTAGAACCCATCCACCTGCATTTTAACTTGGAAAAACATTGCTTTAATCCAAAGGAAGGAATCTCAGATGGTAGCATCCAAGTTCTCTCTGGAGATCAGCAAAGAGACATTCTTAGGAATGAACATTTTTCTGGCAATCTTGAGATTACATCAGGATAATTGGGCACTCCATAGGTTCATGTGTGGCTCTTACAAAGGTCTATATCTAGAGGACTGCATGTGGACATCATGTTTGTACAAGGTTATATGGTAAAGAATCTTTTATTCTTCCCACAGTTTTTTTATTGGTGCATTATAGTTGTAGATACTGCTGGGATTTTCTGTTACCCATTCATACGTGCACAGAATACATAATCTAACAACAACATGTAAGGAATCTTAAGGACTGTGCCCTACATTTTCTGTTTGCTATGCCTTCTTTGGGTTCTTCCTTATGTCCTGTGAATTTGGAGGTGCTGTGATCAGAATTTTGTGTTCCCCAAAATTCATTTATTGAAATCCTTACCCCCAGATATGGTATTGGGAAGTAGGACCTTTAGGGGGTTATTAGGTCACGAGGGCAGAACCCCCTTGAATGGTATTAGTGCCCTCATAAAAGAGCCCAGTGAACAGCTTGTCTCTCCTACAGTGTGAGGACACAGCAAGAAAGAGCCATCCGTGGGGGAGCAGGTCCTCACCAGCCACAAAATCTGCTGGCATCTTGATCTTGGACTTCCAGCCTCCAGAAATGTGAGAAATAAACTTCTGTTGTTTATAAGCGACACAGTTTGTGGTATTTTGATACTGGTATCATTGATAGTATTTATTATTTTGTAGCCTGAATAGACTTAAGAGGAGGGGAGTAAGGAAGGTGGCCCTGGGATCAAGGACAGCAGGTGGAGAGGAAGGAGGGCCCTTCTGCAGAGGATTCGACCATACAGAGGCCCAGGCTTTGTGCTGGAGGACATGCTCATTTCATTGTCAACGGTTAGGTGGCTATCAGTGAACCACAGCAGAAGGCCAGGTCGGAAACCAAGACACCCACCCCAACAGTTAGGCCCTCCTCCACAACCACTTCCCTTCTGTGTGTGGATGTGGTGGGCTGGGTGGGCAATATAAGCTTCACCCAGCTCCCTCCACACTCCAGGGCCCCGAAAGAAAGGCCATCCCTGAACATTTGGCTTCTGCCTCTGGGCTCACCCGCCTTCAGTTCCATGGGAGGCTTTGAGGGTCATCTGTACCCAGGGCTGTCTCTGTTCCTCTATGGACTTTACCAGGCGCAGCTCGTCTCTAGGGCCTTGATCTGCAACTCCCGTGTCCAATATCCACCATGTCGTCCTTGGGACAAAGGAAGATGGGCAAAGCTACGGCAGATATATTACATTGGCCCGATGAAGATCCTAAGTGCCTTCATTTTAGTAGCCCAAGAGTTGAACAGCGTTCATGGACAGCTGGTTCTTATCAGCAAGATGTATCACCAGAGAGACTTTATGTACCGCAAACAGTGGCAGCACCTCACTCTCTATTTGACCTTCTTCCTGACGGGGTGTGCAGATATGGTGAGCCAGAACCTGATGCCCCAGAGGTGTGTGGCTCTGGAGCAAGGCACCCAAGCCCTGGGCATATTTCTGTTTCTGCCCCTGATGGTGTCTCACATGCAGGACACAGAAGGAGTAGAACTGCAGTTTCACATCCTGCTCACCCAGGCCATGTTCCTGCTAACGGTGGTAGTGACTGCAGAGCTCTGGGCTCCCAATGCCATGCTGATATGGACAATGAAGGCCTTTTTGTACATGATCACAGGCTCTTGGTTGGTACAGATAGGCTTCATGTTGTTCAAGCCAATCTCTGGCTATAAATGGATGGATGATGACAGAAATGACATAGCGTTTGCCACCACTTTCTTCTGCTGGCATGTGGTCTTCAATGCCAGTTTGATGATCTGGATCTATGGCTTCTCTTTTTTGTGGTATTGCTACATTTTTATTAAAGACTGAACCTGGATGCGCCCCCTGGTGGTGCCCTGTGGCCTTCACACTCCAAGATGTCTGGATGAGAAGTTGTGAGAGGTGAGCGGCCAGGAAAGCAGAATCTGGTGTCCTTCCTTCATGGGGGTCCTACCTTGAAGCCGCAGACTCTGCTGGAATGGACAAGCGCCCTCTCCCTTCTGGCTTCTCTCAGCCTTATTTGAACAGTGCATAGAGGAAAGGTGAACGGAATAAGAGTCCTGCCACTAAGACCTCCCCTCTCAACTCCCCAAGCTTTTCCCTCCTCAGCTCCTGCTGCGGTACCTGCTTGCCCTGCACCTCTCTGTATCGCCCACTCCCCTCCCATGAGAACATTAAAGAAATTTTCTATATCCTGCTTGTGAAACTTTTTACAAATATCCCTCACTCCACCACATGGAATATCCACCACAGTCAAATTTAGTACATAATAATAATTTACCCAACATAATAACCATAATAACCCCACGTCCATTCTTTCTGGTTCTGAATCTCTTTCATGATGATACTATGAAATCATGTTTTGACTAAATAGAATTCAGAACTCTTTTTGAGTTCTTTATTTTGATTACTTTGTGATTTATCAAGCAGAAAGTCAGACCCTTTTGCAGCTTCTTGCACAGTGACATCTAGAAGAACAGAGCAGCACCCTACTCACAGAGAGGGCTCCAAGGGCTCGACTGCCTCCAGGGGTTCTCCCCCGCACTGCCTCCTCTAGTACTGTCAGACTCTCCCTCCAGGCATGTCACCCACTGCTCTGCACACTTGGGAATCAAGTTCCAAGTAGTAGATTTGCCAGGACCCACTCTTTTGTGATTCTCCTATATAATAAAATCCAATGGCTTATTTCTTCTTGATGCTTTTTTTTTTTTAATCCTCACAACTCTCGTGTCAGTGAAGTTTGTAGGTGAATATTATCTAAAACTCAAAAGGGTTAAGAAAGTAGCTTAAGGAGGCTAGACATTTTTCTGTGTCACACAGTGCCATTGCTGGGTGTCGGAGGCTGGAATTGTGAAGGGTAGAGCCAGAATTATTGGGAACCATAGGCTATCAAGACTTTATCAAGTTTTCCTCACTCGTGGTTAAGTCTAAATCATCTGGTCAGGACAAAGTGGGGCTGGGTCAGGGATTCCAGAGCATTCACCATCCTTCCCATTTCCTTTGTTGTTCTGGTTCCTGGGAGAACTAGATGTGTCCTTTGGTTCTGGTCCTACACTTCCTTGTTAATTTTCTTGTTCAAAAATCAGGGTGCAAAAGGAGTGAGTTGTTGGGAAGGACCTTCACCCTGTGGTTTTGGGGGCTGTGAACAGCCTGTAATTGTGGAGGGGGAAGGAATCTGGGATCTTTAGATAAGACTCAGCCAGGTCTTAGCATGTGCTGGACATGTGGCGTGTGACCAGCTCCGTGGATGGTTCATACCTGCATCAGTGGGATCATCCGGCAACCACATTCCTGTCCAGTGGAGACTAACAGAGGACCCAGGTGTGGAAATAGAACATAAGTTAGCTTCTATGCTTCCCCCTCATCCTAGGAACCAATGGGGCTCTGCCCTCTTCCTGGTTGTCACCTCTGGTTCCCATACCTTGTTCCCTCGCACCTTGGACATCCTCCGAGGCCTTGGCCCAGCCTCATAGCTCCCTTTCTCTGGCCTGCTTGATCCTCCTCTGGTGCCTTGAAACTGGGGTGACAGGAGATCTGCTTGTCCTCTATTCTTTCTTTCTTACTGAAATGACAAAAACTATTTTCTTCTCCACTCAGGGGTCTCTCCCTCCCCCTCCCTCCCCCCACCCCCCTCTCTCTCTCATCTTAAGAGCATATTTTGGATTTTTTTAAACTTTAAAAAATTGACTCTTGCTATTACAACCCAACCTCTTCATGAAGTGAAATCTCTGACTAAACAGGAGAAAAGCCGCGTACAAGGGATGAGAAGCCAGGACATAATATTAGTATTTCAAGATTTTATCTCCCTGCAAAGATGACAGTTGAAGGGATACAGAAGCTGCAGAACTGTCCCATTTTTAGTGCTTTTGAAGTTCTTTTAAATAACTGATGAATTCATCGCTTGTAGAAAATTGATGCCCCCAAATATTATTATGTCTCAAATCACATACCTTCAGGGAAAAATGCTAAATATTAGCAGTATCAGCAGGGGTCTCAAAGCCACAAAGAACCATAGCCAACATCTGATACAGTGGCAGAATAGGTGGGCCTACTGTTCTGACGATAAGGGTTTTTCTGTGTGCTTTGTGTTAATTAGGTATGAGCACTTGGAAATTATTCCTAAACACTTGAGAAAGAAAAACCGGCTGAAGATTAACTTGGGGTAAAACAAAAATCAAAGTCTCCAAATTAGAGTAGTTTTTGGAGAGAAAGATGTAGTGTTTCGCACCATCCACCAGAGGGAGTTATTTCCACATGAGACTGGAAGGGGCACTTCATCTCCATTTGGTATTGAATTATATCAATTTAAGGGAAGTGATGGAGGGATGAGGAGGAAAGCAGGAAAAGCACATAAGCAATCAGTAAACATCACCTGCATCTGTTTCCTATTAAGCTCAAATGTGTAGACATGAATAAGCACAGAATTTAATCTATGAGATAGAAGTGTGTGTGTGTGTGTGTGTGTGTGTGTGTGTGTGTGTGAAAACCTCTGGGTCACTCACTCTCTGACTACCCTTTCTATTTGATATTTTAAAAATCATTGTGTGACTTTCAAGAAGAACTGTCTCCTACTGTGGATGCCACAGGGAGTATGATAGTCCCCCTCCTGGCCCTGGTAGTAAGGGCCAGCAACCAGACCCTCCACGCAGAACTTTTCATCTTGAGGAGGAAAATGGGACGCTTAGTAGCTCTATAAAGGTAAGTATTTTTGACTGGTTTACTCACGGACACATCCAAAACATCTAGAAAATTTTCTGTCATACAGGGAAGTGCTCAATAAATAGAGAATTAATTAACAAATAGGAAACTGAAAGAAGCCATTGTGACAGTGAATCAGGTCCAGTATCTATTTTGCAGTTGTGAGTCAAGACCCTAGAAGCTCTCAAAAAGAAAGCATGTTTACCATGAGGAAGAAAAGTCATATTTTTGTGTTATTGTTAGTCTCCTAATATTTGCCAAAGAGATCTGCTACCATTTTCAAAGTAACTCCTGGAGTAAGAAGACCCTCAGCATTTTGGGAAATCATTTCAACCTGAATCTGATACACCCAGTAAATCTCACAGCTGAGATGTGAAGTCAGGTCTATCTAATTTTAAAAACATTGTTTCCCATGTTTTCCTGATAACAATAATTATCTGGGGTACTTGTGAAACACATAGACAGACGCCTGAGCTCAACCCTAGTCCTTCCAACAGAATTTCCAGGGGAAGGACCTGGTAATTTATGTTTTTAACAAGTGCCCCCATAATTCTTATTATCACACAAATTTGGGAGACTTCTGGTACTCTTCTTTTGGGAACTAGAAGGTCCTAAAAAGGTCACAGGGACATGCAATCATTATGTACTTCAAGCCTCTTCTCATCCTTACCATTGTTGGTGTGACCATCATTTAGTTGTTAATGTCTCCAACAGTCAGCCTTTTTGAGCTGTAGGGAAGGTGGTGGGCAGCACTTAGGGCTAGAGAGTAGCTTCACACAGCTTAATTGAAGACCAGCCTGAGAGCACAACACCTCACAGAATACGAGTACATATCGCTACTGTGTGTGCGCCATTAATTTTGGAAGAGACCACAACTCTTATTTCTTATGCTGAGGTTGTGAGAGCCTTTTCCAAGAGGAGATGATATTCCAAGAAATAAGCTGATATTAAGAACCACCAGAGCTTTACTCTGAACTCCCTCAAGATCTTTGTGTTACAATGACTAATGGATAAGGTGATAATAGATTGAAGAAATACAGTAGACTATGAGCCCATCTGCAACAAGTAAAACATCAAGAAGAATCTCTTCTCATTTTTGAAATAACTTAACAGTATCTGGTCTTTATATATACTAAAGAAAATATAATAACTTTTCAAATGTAAGTAATGTTTTATTGGCAATTCATTATTAACATTCCTTTCAACTTCCAAAATCTTATTCAACCCTCCCCCCACCCCATGGAACAAGGATTTAAACATTATATAAGCTTCCCAACAATTCTAGAACTTTAGAGTTCTTTAAGTCCTCTCATAAGTATAACATTGAACAACTCCATTCTCTAAAGTTTGGGAGAAAAAAAAAGTTTCTGCCTAAATTATTAGGGTTTATAGGGCTGATGGTCTTTCACTTTTATCAGAAGAGGACCAGAGAAACAAAGAGTGGATGAAAAGATCAAGCATCTGCTTCAAAACCTTTTAGAGACAAGGAAGGTCAAGTCCTTTGAAAGTTGTCTTAAGGGTGCAGAACATCCAGGAGACATTCCTTATTACAATTACCTCTAGTATAACAGTTTATAGGTCCGTGGGAACTGAAGTGAGTCATGCAAAAATATCACCATAAGGTAGGAAAGGATGGAGTACTGAAGAGGGCTTGGACACACTTAGAAAGAACCTGTCAATGCACACAAAAGAGCATGGACCAAGTCCAGGATGACTCTGGTACATTCAAAGGAATCCGGAAAATCAAGTAAGAAAAAAACTTGCCTTCAGATGGTGGTCTCCATCAGATATAAGTAGGCCCCCGCCAATGGAATCTGGAACTCCTCAGAAGTGACACTGTGTGTTCACAAGGGGTGGGTTGCTGTTGACTACAGGCTAATTCTGTTTCTAACAAATCACAGTGGCAGGAAAAGCAAGGCAACATGAGAAACACTGGTGAGTGTCTGAGAGAGATGTCTCCAAGACTGTAAGCCCTCGAGGCAAACCACTTGCCTTTCCAGTTCATTGGAGTGCATCTTTGTTTTCCTCCTCTTTCTCTCCTGCCCCTTCCTACTTCTGCTACTAGATGTTAAGGATAGGACAGGGCCTTGTTCATGAGACAACTAAGCCTAGAGGAGAGAGTCAAGTATAGCTTGGCCCTCCATGTGCCTTACCTCCTCCAGGGAGACAGATTGCATGGGGTTTGGGATCATCCAATGATTTCTCGTGCCAAGTCAATATTATGATTTGGAATGAGCACAAAAGCCCTTCTCCAATTATTAGGAAGTCTGAATCCAGAACAGAAGAAAATGGCAAAAAAGGAATGAAGAAAATGGGAAGGCAAATGTGGGCAGCCTTGTTCCCTTACCTCGTTAAGACTACTTTGTGAGTGGTGAGCCCTACCATCAAAGCCTCCGTGGACTCCAGAGTGTGTGTAGATAAGGAAAACCATCCATTGAGAAATTTCTGCCAAACCCCACTGTTCTGCTTGCAGACAGTCTCAATAACCTACTTATTCAGGAAATGCAAATTAGGCTTTATAAATGACAGAGAAACAAACAAATCCCAGAAGATTAAAGATCAGCTCTTGAAAGAATGATTCATTCAGCATTTACAGACTTGGATAATGTGCAAACATTTTAAGTGCCTAGGGCAGGATGAGAAGACGAAGTCGCTCCTCTCAGAGACTCAAAGGAAGAAGATACGTCAATGGATGAAACAACATGGCTTGTCAATTGTCATCGTGTTCCACCACTGTGGTAGATTCTACCATTCTTGGTCACCAAGATAATATGTAAATCAGTTCTTGATGGTATCTAGTCATTTGTGAAGCTGGCTGGAGTTGAAAGAACATTTTAGGCAATGGGAAGGCGGGAACAAAGACATGGAGTTTGAAATTTGAGTACCTACCATATTCAGGAAATAACGATGTCTTGGTTTTGGCTTGGAAAAGAGAGGCGGCATGGTGTGCAGTGGTGGGAGATGAGCCTAGGAGGCAACAGCCAGACAGGGCGAAGCTCCAGTGCTTAGACTTTACCTTAGGACATTGAAGGGTCTTTGAAGAGTTTTAAAAATGGTAACATCAACATATTATGGTGGTAGTGCATGGATGAGGAAGGAAGAGACTGGAACCAGGGAAACCACTTAAGAAGACTGATGCAGTAGTCTGAGAGAGAGATGATAGACATCTGAAATAAGAGAATGACCCTATGGAACCAGATTCCAGAAATAAATTCAGGGGAGAAACCATGGAACAGATCACCATTGGATGTGGTGGTGTAATGAGAAGAGAGATGGAGCAAGAGAGAAAGAGAAAGGAGAAAAGATGAATCTCGGTTTTCTGGATGTAGATAATTGAATTAGTGATGATTACAGTAACTGAGACTGGGAATATAGGAAAGGGGGCATGTTGGGAACCTGGACATTGTGAACATTTTGGAGTTGCTATGGATGTGTATGTAGAGAAGTCCCCACAGCTCATTGGATATTTACAACTAGAGCCAAAGAGAAGTCTGGGGCAAGAACTCAAATTTTGGAATAATTTATGTGTCATAGGATAAATCAGCCAGAGAATGCTCATAAAAAGAAGAGCAGAGAGCTGGTGAGAGAGACCCGAGAAAGTTCATGTGAAATACAGAACAGAAGAAAATGGAAACACAGAATGAAGAAATGGGGAAGGCAGACATGTGGACAGCACTGAAGGGGGCGGGGAGACTATCTGTAGAATAGAAAGCAAGAGTGGCCCCAGCTCCCTGCTCATAGTAGCGTTTGATTGTCTGGGTTTCTATTTCTATTATTCAAAGGCCTTGATCACTTGGTGTTATCAGGAAAGGTGATGGAGGTAAATGGTCTTCTCACGTTATCAAAACTGCACGGTAGTGATGGTGGGGGGTGGCACTCACCTCACCAAACGCTTAACTAGACTGATAGTCTACTGTACCAGATTTCGATTGTTGGTTTTATAGTCTTTTATTATGCACTTTGGGTATGATGGATATGGCCCTTTAGATGACAATTATCTTATTACTCTCTAGTTGAACATTGGGCTCTAAAGAGTGTAGACGATGAATTGGAATACACTTAGGTCCCTAGTCCACTTAGGGTCTCCATGTTTAGTTTTTCTTGACATTCAATATATCCTCTGACTAACTTAGACAAAATAATAATCAAACCTGAGAATTTAATAAATAAATTGCACCACCAAACCAAGATTCAGGAAAGCTCTTACCAGCTTGTAACGCTGGTCCCAAACTAACCAGCTGAAATTTGACTGCAGCACAAGTAAATTCCTGCCCCTGGTTTCTGACAGTGATTCTATTAAATAAAGTATGGTGGAGCTAATGGTGCAGTGTGAGAGCTCCCAAGCTGGCTCCGTTTCAGGCCACACTAATGCAACATGCCACATGGGCAATAGTTCACTTCTCCTCTGCCCTGGGAAGCATCTTCAGGGCTTGGGTTGTGGGTGCCATTCCCACCCGTGAGAGAGGAGCCTGATGGAAAGGAGGCCACATGAGGAGGAACGGGCTGAAGAACTTAGTGACCAGGCAGAGAGGCTGAAGGTAAGCCTGAGGCTGTGGTGTCTTTATAAATATTGGAAGTGCTGTCATGTAAGAGGACTTAGATGAATTGTAGAATTTCCCAAAATAGAAGGCAGTTCACTGAAGGAAAATCTTCCTAATGTTTTCTCTCTTCACAAATGGAATGGGCAGCCCTGTGAGGCCGTGTGCTCCCTCAGCTGGGAGTATGTAAGCAGGTGACATGGGAGAGTCCTGGAGAAGGAGGAGCCGAGTGGATGACCCTAATGGAGGTCATCGTGCTGAGATTCAGCCATGGGAAATTATCTTTGTTTTCCCAACATGAATGCAGTCCTGGTCATGGTTTTGTTTCGTTTTTTTCTCTCTCCCCCCATATAGAGATACTCCGTTCTACAAATCTTATAATTCTGCTGGAGGATGAAATCTTTGCTGATTTTTTCAATACATTTCTTTCTCTCCCGGTAAGCATTGTCAGACTTAAGTTCAAATGTTTTATTGACAGCTGAATAATAAACCTCACTGAGCTAAGTGCCCTTTTGTTATTTTGTTTTTTACTAAGTTCCTTATGAAATGCAAACTTTTCCAATTTGAGCCAATAAATATGAACCAGGACCCCCTCTACAATCTCCGGGAGCTCCCTAATATTAATACAACCAAGTTTTCAAGGCTCAGCCTCCTTAACTGCCTTTTAACTGTCCAGAGTCACCTCCCCTCACATCAGCTGCTGATACCCAGTGCTCTAGTGACCACCATTTTACACTGGCTGAGTGCACCCGCCATCCCCCCACCTCCAAACCTCTCTTCCAATCTCCGCTTAAATTCTGTTCTTAGGGAATTCCTAGGCCCTCAGAGCTGGGACCTCCTGGTGGAACTTCTCCTGCCTCTGTTCCCCTTGGCAATCTGCAGCTGTCTTGTGTTGCATGTGTACACATGTCTGTGTCCCACTGGAGTGTGAGATTGTGAATTCCCTCAGGACAAGGACTAAGGATTATTCATTCTGTTCTACTTCCCTTACCAGGTGTTTAGCATGCAGCCTTTAAGCTGTGGACTAAAACCAAACTGTGTATATCCTCAGGCTACGTAACTTAGACAAACCTCAAAATCCAACAAAACCCAAACCTGGGCTCATCCTACATCGTTTTTGGATTAAATTTTTGATGACATTTTAATGCTGGTATCTTATAAATTGTGGTTCATCTTATTGCACACCCTTTCCCACTGGATGTCATCTGTTAAAAGGTGAAATTTCAGACAAGCGGAGAAACCACTGTATTATCTCAGTTGCTGAGTGGTTACTCTGTACCAGCCACTGGGATTAGTTTGGGGGATGTACATATTAATGCACCATCTCTGTCCTCAAGGAGCTCCCAGTCTAAAGTGAGAGACTAGTATTTAAGTTACGAGTGACGTAATGGAGACTTTTAGGAGGCAGCGGGAGAGCAGTACATGGAGCAGGGAGGCCATTCTTCCTGAAGAGTCAGGAGAAGCTGACCAAGCCAAATCTTAGGAGTGGATATCGGAGAACTGACCAGGGGCAGAAGGTGGAGCAGGAGGGATGGATAAAGAAGTGGGGGGAAAGCCTAGGGGGTTGAGTAGCAAGAAAAGGCCTCACAGACAGACAGAGGAGAGAAAGTAAGATGGCAGCGGCCAACATGATTTGAAAAGGAGGGAGGAGGAAGAGGAATCTCCATGAGTGGGACTTTCAGGTGATCCTCACACACGCTAATGCCTTTGCCACTGTCTTAATTAAAGCTTTCCAGAGTAATTTTTTTTTTAACCCAGGGGCACTTAGCCACTGAGCCACATCCTAGCCCTTTTTATTTTTTATTTTGAGACAGGGTCTCACTAAGTTGCTTAGGGCCTAAGTTACTGAGGCCGGCCTTGAACTTGCCATCCTCCTGCCCCAGGCTCTGGAGCTGCTGGGACCAAGTAATCTTAAGACACATTAATCACCCAATTTATGAAGACAAGTTTCTAGAAACAGAGTGATGTGGGAAGGTGGCGTTCCAGCCAAGAGTGTAAGATGAAGTCCTGGCCATTTAGGCAGCTGTGGTGTACGGAGAGACAGTCGTGTTTCGTGTCAAACACGCCTGTCAACATGTCTACCATTTAATTCCCATAGTTTCCCTGTGATATAAGCATAGAAGCCTTTTCCCATCAGTTCCTAGATGATAATCCCTGCCCCATGCTCGACAACAGAGAATAGTAGCTTAGAATTGGGATGCTCTCAAAGCCTCAGCATGTAATGTTTTACCCCTAGTCCTCCTCATATCTTCAGTCCTCTCTACTTTCTCCAGTTCAAGAGTTTAGGTAAATCCAAAGCTACTTCTCATTAGGAAAAGGTTTTAGAACTTGGCTTGAGCTAAGTTCATGAGGGAAGGGGATGATGCAACCCACAGTGTAACGTGTTCTCATATCAAGGGCTTTTGGCTTTGCACATAAGCAATAGCCCCTAGGCCCAAGGCAGGATGCAGTCAAAAGATGAATGAATATTGCAATTCTCTCTATTCGAAGTCTTTTTGTGCAGGTTACGTTGATCCGGTGAAGCAAATTTAAGAATTAATGTCCCTTCAAACAGGAAGACAGCAGAGCCTCTCTTCCTCTGTGGCCGCAGGAGCATGTCATGAATAGGAAGAGAAGCTCTTGCTCTTTGGCTGTTTCCTAGCTTTCTTTTACAGGTTTTTGGTCAGACCCCATTTTATCTTGTTGAAAAATCTCAGTGGAACTTGTGGCCAGAAATACCTCGTGACTTGGTGAGTAGGAGCCTAGGATGGCAGAGGGTTTGGGGCCGAGGAAGAGAGAGAGTTGTATTTGAAGCAGGGATTGGGAGAGAGAAGGGAAGAAGGAGATTAGAGAACGATTGAAAGAAACCAGAAAGCAGGTGAATAGAAAAAACAGCATCAAACCAGGTAAACATTTTACACTCTCACCTCAGGCAAGCAATTTCTGGTGAATTCTTTAGTTTATATTCTAGTCCATTATTAGCAATTGGAATTCATCTCTCATGTCTACTGTGATTTGGGGGTAGCAGATGTTTGGAATACTATGCTGAGAAAAACCTTGAGCCACATTTAAGCAAAAAGAGCCCAGGAATTGATTGGCAATGGCTGCCATGGGTGGGATACGAAGTGGCCATCTCTAGTCCACACAGGTATGATCAGATACACATTATCAGCTACAGATCAAGGTAAGGTGCCAATCTGCAGTTTTTTTCCAGAGGCAAGTTTTTCCTCTTCATCTTTTTTCTTTTCATATATTTCTTTTCCTTTTCCTTCTAGATTGTCTTTCTCTTCTCCTTGTTTCCCCTTTCTTCTTCCCAAGACTTAGATCAGCCAGTGGCTTCCATGTGCATTACCAGTGGTTTGTGGATCAGAAAAGTCACTCTAAGCCCTGCTCATAATAAGCCTTGTTTTTCTCTGAGTTACTAAGAGAAGATACCCTACTCCAATTCTTACATTTGGTTTCCCTAAAATAACTATGAAGCTTAAATTGTTAAAATTTGTCCTTCCTCCTCCAGCGGTTCTACGTCTCAGGGATCCCTTCTGTACTCTAAATGGTCTGCATGTGTTTTTGTACATGTTGTACAATTGATAAGGGTGGAGGCTTGTAAGAAATAATGTGTGTTTACAAAACAAGTTAAATAGAGTAGTTAACTAGAGTTTATGACCTGACACCATAAACTGAGACCTTTTCTGTTTCTTTTCTGTAAATCAAGACTTAGATCTTTTCTGGAAGAAATTCACCCAGAAATACGGAAGAATTTTTGAAGAAAGACCAAACTTGTTAATCCATACAGGTCCATACACTTCTTTAGGAGCTTCATCTTGTGTTTCCACTGAACTTAGGATTTTTAATCAACACACCCCTACTTCCAGTCAGATACTGCCAAGTGTGAGGTTATTTATCACCACTTGCTAAGCAGCATTTCTTAACTGTTAAATTTCATTTATCTTTCTGTTGCTATTTTGATTTTTCTCTAGATTGCCAAATACAAAGGACTATTGACCTGGTTGGAAAAATATCGGTTACCTTTCTTCTGCAAAACAAACTTGTGTTTCAATTACATTCTCTGTCAGGAATTAATCAGTTTCATTAAGTCTGAAGAAGGAGGTAAACAGAATGTGTGTGTGTGTGTGTGTGTGTGTGTGTGTGTATTGTGTAGAAATATGGAAAACCATACTATATAATGATCCTATGCCTATCAGTAAGATAAAAATACCAGCTGCATTTTGTACATCTTGTAGATATGTGAGTGGTCCAACCTATGTTGTAGCAATAGGTGAAATCTTGGGCTGAAAAATTGTGCCTGGAGCAATAATCAGGAGTCATGTGAGATAGTCTATTTATCTCACTGTAGCCAGAAACTACACAATGGTCATAAAGTATGAAAAAATTGCCTAACATATGTACAGAATCAAACACATCTTACCACCTTCATTATTATCATTTGTTCTAAATCACCATTATTATTTCTTAACTGGTACTGAAATCATCTCAATATCCTTAACTTTACTCTTGCTCTCCTGTTCACAGCAACCAGAGAAAGCCTTTTAAAGCATAATTTTGGGGAAGAGAGTGAGAGGATTGTAGGATGATGGCTAATTAGGAAGCACTGGTAATCTCTTCCCATACCTGGGTAAGAATTACACTGACAGAATCTATATGATGTTCCTATTCTGGAGTCCGTTGAGGCTTGCAACTTTCAGGGGAAGGCTCAGACAGTAAATTGTACAGCTCTTAGCGTGGTAGCAGCTGCCTATCTTCAAGCACCAGCTCCATGGCTGACAGCTGTCACAGTCTCAGCCCACAGAGAGGCTTGGACACAGGTTGTGAGGGTCGCAAAATCAGAGAAGACCTCCAAATAGACAGGATCTGTGTGCTATTTGCTTCTTCTGATCACAGAGATCCACAGACACCGGCAGCCATTTCTGTTTTACTTCCCCTTTGCTATAAGCCCTTCGCCATTTACTGATGTAATTTCAGCCTTGGAGGGTCTAGTCCCTCTTTTATTTTTCATTTTTTCCCCTTTTTGGAATCAGAGATCAAGAACTAGAACATTCAAAAGAAACTAATTGATACCTAGGGAAAGGCACTAGTTCAAAAAAGATGTGCAAAGACCTAAGTTTATACCTCAAACTTATCTTGACACAGAAATATCTTGCAGCAATTAATTTTTTTTCCTCAAATAAATAAAATAAATAACAAAACCAGAAAACTCTGGGCAAGGCGGGGGGCAGATTCTGATTTCCAGAGTTGCACATTATTAGATTAAAATATCAAAATTTTAACAAAAAGTCACAAGGCGTACAATGAAACAGGAAAGTATGATCCATTTCATGGAAAAAGAAGACAAAAGAAACTGTTCTGCAAAAAGATCTAATGAAAGATATACTAGACAAAGACTTTAAAACAATTGCCTTTAAGCTACTCCAAGAACTAAAGAACAATATAGAAAAAGTTCAGAAAATGACATGTAAACAAAACAGAATTTTCAATGAAAAGATAGAAAAGCCAAAATGAAACCAAAGAGAAAAACAGAAATGAAAAATTCAGTAGAGGGAATCAGTGAATAGAATGGACTAGAACAGATTTAAGAAAAAATCAGTAAACCTGAAGATAGGTCAGAGGAAATTATTAAATCAGAGGAACAAATGAAAAGATACTAAAGAAAGTGAACAGTCTCCCAGGGACCTGTGGGACACAATCTAGCACACCAGAATATGCATTTAAGGTGTTCTAGACAAGAAAAGAAGGAAGAGATAATATTTAAAGAATAATGGCTGAAAACTTCCCAACTTGATGAAAAACATGAATATAACATCAAGAAGCTCAGTTAACTTTTAGAAAGATGAACTCTAAGATACTCACACCTAGACACATAATAATAAAATTTTGAAATGCAAAAACAAAGAATCTTAAAGGCAGCAAGGAAGGAATAACTTGTCATTTATAAGGGGATTTCATATGATTATTAGTGGATTTATAATCCAGAAACTTTGGAGCCCCAAAGGCAAGTGAGCTTGTATATTAAATTTCCAAAAGAAAAATACAAGTAGTCAATAATTCTATGTCTGGCAAAACTGTCCTTCAAAAGTGAACCAAATGATTGAGCAATTTAACTCCTGGGTATAAACTCAAAAGAATTGAAAGTAGGGTTTCAAAGATTTTTTGTGTGTGTGAGGTACCAGTGAATTAACCCAGGGGCACTTAACCACTGAGCCACATCCCCAGCCCTTTCTATTTTTGATTTTGAGACAGGGTCTTACTAAGTTGCTTAGGGCCTCATTAAATTGCTGAGGCTGGCTTTGAACCAGGGATCCTCCTTCTGCCTCAGTCTTCTGAGCCTCTGAGATTATAGGCATGCACCACTATGCCCAACTCAGAGATATTTGTAAACCCATGTTCATAGCAGCATTCTCTACATAGCAAAAAATGTGGAAACAACTATGTGTCCATCAACAGATAGATAAGCAAAAATGCTACATGCATGGAATATTGTGCTGCCTTAAAAAGAAAATTCTGACACATGCTACAATATGGATGAAATTTGAGGACATTGTGCTGAGAAATAAGCCAATCACAAAAAGACAAATACTGTTTGATTCCATTACATGAAGTACGTACAATAGTCAAAATCAGACACAGGAAGGAGGAGGATGATTGTCAGGTGCTGGGAGGAGGAGGAAATGAGGAGTTATTGTTTAATGGATGCAGAGTTTCAGTTTTACAAGAAGAGTGTTTTGTAGATGGGAGGTGGTGATGGTTGCACAACTTTATGAATCCACTTAATAACACTGAACCATACATTTAAAAAGAGTGAAAATGGTAAATTTTATGTTAGATGTATTTTACTATAATAAAAAATTGGGAGGAGGGAATGTAATTCAAATTATGTTTCTCCTCCACTCTGCCTGCACTTTCCTCCACACATACCACCAGTGGCTCCTGTCTCAGTGACCTTCCGGGTGTGAGGCTTGGCTCCGTTTCCTCTCTGACCGCATCTCCTCCTATTCTCACCACCCCCATTCACTCCATTCCAGCCACATTGATCTCCTTGCAGTTTATCCAACATGCAGGACACTTACCACTTCAAGCCTTTCCACTGGCTGTTCCCTCTACCTGGATGCTCCTCCAGATGTCCACATGGCTCCCTGTCACCTCCTCATGTGCCCATGCAAATCCTATCCCCTCAATAAAAGCTACTCTGACAATAGATCCTGTGTAATACTACCTCGTTCCCATCATCCCAACTGTGCCTCCAGAACTCCCAATCTCCTCTACCTCGCTCTCCTCTTCCTTTTTTTCCTGTGGTGCTTGTAACCTTTAATCTCAGTAGAGAATGCATTTACTCATCATGCTTATTGCTTATTGTCTCTTTCACAAGAATATAAGCTCCTGGGATCTTTGTTCTGTGCTATTGTATCTAAATCACCTAGAATGGTATCTGGCACTTAGCAGGCCTGTAATGAATATTTGTGGAAGGAATGAATGAACAAAATTTCCATCTGGGGTTACACTGGTAAATTTTGACTCACTAACCAAAGGAAATTAATGATGTGCTACCACGACAAAGTTAAGGTCCAGCAGCATTCATGGAGGAAAACATTATAACAAATCCCCTCTCTACTCAACCACCCTTTCATTATATATAGACATTTGTAAAGGTGGATGAAAATGTGCCCTGAGGGCAAGATCATGGTCAGGTGGAGACTGTACGGGGAGGTGCCTTGGGTGGAGGGTGGGATGTGCGCTTGTCTGTGGGAACCACATGTCACTTGACCCATGTCACTAGATGGCATGGTGCCTAACTTCAAAAGCACTCCATTGTCAGGACCCCACTCCCTAACTGGCCACCATTTTTCTTTATTCACACTGAGCAAATGGGCGTCTGCTGTGTGCAAGACTGAGGGAGAGAGGCAGGGGAAGAGCTCATTCTCCCTCTTACCATGGACTTTTTCCGGCAGCCAAGATGATGAGATGGAAGACGGCAGACCAGTGGCTACTGGAGAAATGCATTGGCGGAGTCAGAGGGATGTGGCGCTTCTGCTCCTACCTCAAGGGCAGCGCAGGTGGGTTGTCTTGGATCATTCTTAATAGTTCTCTGGTTGTCCTGGATCTCCCATTGACAGCTATGAGTGTCTATGGTAAATATAAAAAGTGTTCAATAATACAGTTTGGGTAAAAATCCAGTACAATTGGGATCCATAGTAGAGGTAAAAGCAGTCAGGGTCCCTTGCGTTCATTCATTTATTGGGCATTGTTTTGTGGCAGCCTGTGGACTGGTAGGTTGGGATTTAAAGATGAACACAAGCCCTGCAGGGGGCTTTATAAAACTGCGACTGTGGTGGGGAAATGGGGAACAAAAGGTGAACGTGTGGGAAACCTCTGCTTTCTCTTCTGGGGGGTCTGGTGATTTCTGGGAGCTGGGAAGCTGGAAATGTCTGCTCTGGCAGACACTCTAGTTCATCAGGGCTAAGTTAAACTAGGAACAGGTCCTAGTTTTCAGGGTGAAACCCTGGGTCTCCAGGTAAAGAAGAAGTAAGACAGGCTATATCTTTCTGTTTGCCAATCAGTTTGGCTCTTGCAAAGTTGTAAAATAGGGAATGTGGGTCTTTGGTGACTTTTGACCCCAGCATCTTTCTGCAGGCTGTTCACGGTGTCCAGGATCTAGGAAATGCTCTTTTTCCTCTGATCTTCATTTTTTTGGGCAAAACTATCTCATGATTCATACTCAGAGTCTTGTAGTTTCCCCGAAGTGACAGTTTTTCTAGTAAGAGAAATAACAACAAGAAGTCACAAAGGACCACTACCCATTAAGTCCCTTCTCCCTATGCTCCCATCCTCCCCCACACTAGGACTTTTCTGGAGATGATGTCTTACCCTGAGGAATTACTAATGATGCAGCCGAACAGGCTGATGGGGGGCCGGGGGTACAAGTGGCTTCACCCAGAAGCAACTACCAAAGGGTCAAGATTAGGCAGCTCCAGGCCCATCCTGTCTGATCTGTAGGTGAAGAGCTGGTGGATTTCTGGATCCTTGCTGAGAAGATCCTGAGCATAGATGAGATGGACCTGAAAATGAGAGACTACTACCTGTCCCTCCTTCTCATGCTGAAGGCCAACCATCTGCAGCCGGGGTCCAGGGTAGTAAAGCTCTGCAACGTGAACATCAGTAAGAATTATAAAGCATATTTGAAGTGAAATTCTTGGAGGATGGAAACAAAAAAACAATCCAGTGTCTAGGAGCCCCTAGTCTTTTGCTTTTCAGACTGCCACCCTCTCTATCTGCTTTGGTATCAGGAATGGCGGTGGGAACCCCAACCCTTAACTGGGGAAAGATTGAAAGAGACTAGCTGTCCTTGGGTAGGCTGGTGCTTGCCTCTTCCTGAGATATTACCCGCCAGTGCAGGGTGGGTGGAAGGAGTGAAGATGGATTGGAGCAGGGTAATTGAAAAGTCCCTATATCTTCTGAGCCTGCTCAGCTCTCCCTTGGATTCTCTAGAACAAATTACAGCCCATGGGCCAAAAAGCAGTATATGTGCCAATAGGCAAAGAATGTTTTTAATTTTCAAAGGATTTTGAAAAAGAAGAAGACGATTATGCAACCAAAACTGTATGTGGTTCACAAAGCCCAAGACGTTTACTATCTGGCCCTCTACATAAAAAGTTTGTCAACCTTCTCTTTAGAACATCAGATCCATCCATGTTTATTTGTTTTCTAAATAAGAAAGCATTTCAAATTGAAATATCAATGTGTTCTAGAAGATCTGCTGCTTGGGATTAGCCATACTTCTTTCTATTCATCTAGATAATTGAAAAAATGATAACATTAAAATGTCCAGGCTAGTGAAGGCTATTATTTGAAAGATTTGATTCTTTCAAATTATTCAATCCAAACCCTTTCCATTGGTCCTCTCGGATCCTGAAGAATGACGTTCAGATAATATGTATCATTGTTCTTAATGATCGTTTCTTGTACTTTTTGCTTTTCTTTAACAGTAACATTCAGTAGTCTAAACATTATTCAAGAAATCTCATAGTATGCCTCATTTCTATGGGAAAGAAGAAAGATAATCGGAGAAAAAGGTCACTGTGTACTGAGAAAAACCTAAAAATGGGTCCACTGTATGTCTTCCCTATCCAGCTTTCAGAATTCTGTGAGGAACTAATGTAATGCTAAATACAAAGACCTCCCTCATCACCACCACATCATTTTCACCTTCTTCTCTCTATGATCTTTCCAGACTCCCTCCTGAACCTCTCCATCTGGCATCCCAACCAGTCAACCACCAGAAGGGAGACCCTGAGCCACATGCAGAAAGTGGCTCTGTTCAAAGTCCAGAGCTACTGGCTCCCCAGCTTCTACACCCACGCCAAGGTGGCAATGGCCAGTGAGGAGGCATGCCAGGGCCTGATGCAGGAGTATGAGACTCGCCTGTACAGCGTTTGCTACACCCACGCGCGAGAACTCCCTCTGAACATGAGCATCAGGAAGAGTTTCCATTGCCAAAAACAGTACTCAAGCAAGAAGGCCAGGAGGAGGATGTGGCACATGGCAGAAACGGACTCTCACTTTCTGGAAACCAGTCCCAAGCCGGATAGCAGGACTATGCCTACACAGGAGATGAGTTCTCAGAAGATGGTGACACAGATGTCTTCCCTGACAGTGGCTTCTTCAAAGGAGTCAATAATCAGTTCCTTAGAAAATGATGATCCCTGTGCTAAGAAGTTCACTATGAAGAAATCCAAGGACCACCTCCTCATGGAGGGCCTCTTTGAGACAAAGTTTTCCACCCAAATGAGGACTTCCACCCCTATCATTAATTATTCTTCACAGATGACAATCCATAAGGCCATGAGGAAAAGCTTCCCCTTGGGGTACACATATTGGGCCCTGTGTGCTGACATCCATGCAGGGAGTCCCTTCCGGCACTACCTAAAGAAGATGAAATTGAAAGTGGAGAGACAACTCCTGGACCTTTGGCAGGACCTACACCATTTCCTGCGTGTTCTGATGAATAACAGGAATAATGGAAATGCCATCTTTCGTCACATGCTGGGTCACAGGATCTGTGAGCTCTACTTGAATGAGCAGCTTGGTCCATGCTTACCACTCAAATCTCAAACCATTCAAGGCCTGAAAAAGCTGCTGTCTTCCGGGGATGTGACCCCCTGGATTCCCAAAGCCCAGAGGGAAATTTGCAAGGTAAGCCTTGCCTCAAAGAAATGAGTTGATTTCTGCAGATCAAGTCAAGACTGACCAAACTCCCTACCTGGTCATCTATACTTGCTAAGTTAATTATATCTACCCACATAAATCCGCATATATTGAAAAGCTGCTTAACCTCTTAAGGCACAAGTTTTGCAAGTTTCCATGAACCAGAAAAAACTCTCAAGTAGAATGGAACAGGGAGGGGGAGTGGTCAGTATCCACCTTCACTTCCTTATTTTCTGTCTTCCAAAACCATGAAAATCAGGATATTTTAAAGATAAGTTTTACTAACTCTCTTATGCACGTTATATATTGAAAAGTGGGATCCTCCTTTCCTAAACTAGCTACCAAGGAGATAACCAATTGGGAGGAATGACTTATTACCAAAACATTACATAAAAGCAAAGGAATAGCCAGGTGTGGTGGCACACACCTGTAATCCCAGAAGCCCAGGAGTCTGAGACAGGAGGACTGCAAATTCAAAGCCAGCCTCAGCAAAAGCGAGGCACTAAGCAATTCAGTGAGACCCCATCTCTAAATAAAATACAAAATAGGGCTGCAGATGTGGTTGAGTGCCCCTGAGTTCAATCCCCAGTACCAAAAAAAAAAAAGCAAAGAAATATCCTGAATAAAAAAAGTGAGGCCCATGATTATTGTGTCATCAGATGCTTGGCAAAAAACAAATTGGAAAAGTCAAGTTGGATAACAGATGAGAGCCAAATAAAAGGGTCTGCTTACAGAGCAGTGGATGGGGTGGGGAGACCACAGAGACAGCACAATACCTTCCACAGAGTTGTTAAGGATGGGGCACCTTTATTATTCCTAGGCCTGAAGAACTGAGGAGAGGGAGCAGTTACTAGAATCAGGATGGAGTTGAGACACAACTGTATGGAGTGAGGCACAGCAGTGTCTCCTTTAAGGTAGTGATCCCTTAAGGGACATGGCGCTTCCACACTGATCCGCAGAGGGAATCTTCTGCTTTCCCATTTCCTGCCAGGACACCTCATGAGGTGAACCCAATCAGAGGATAAGAGAGCCTGCTGGTATCCATACAGGTTAATCTGCTAAGGTACAGCAGGATAAAGGGTAGCGAGTAGATCTGGAGAAGCAAAAATGGATATAAACATGTGATTATTTAGTGCTCATACTGCATTTGCCTTATAAGTCACATGCATGTACCTTGTCTCCTTCTGAGTCTTAGCAACTCCAAGGGCAGACAGCATTGTATTGTTGTCTTTGTTCTACAGATGAGGAAGCTGAGACTCAGAAAGGCTGAGTAATTAGCCTATTAGTACGTAAGTAAATTAGCCTAATGAGTACATGACTGGCTGATAGATGAATCAGGATCAGAACTCAGATGTTCTTAGTGTTTATGTCCTTCTTGATTTCCTGATATACCTGGGATGGACAGCCAGGTAGTATCAGGCCAGAGCAGTCCAGTAGATCCACAACTGTAGCTTTCCTAAGCCCAGTTCTTGGTTAAGGAAACACTAGAAGCCTCCCTGTCTTTTGTGGAGTAGGGTCAGAGGATCAGCTTAGGACTATATTTCCTGGATTAGCAGACTTTCACTGTAAAGCCCCTTACCTGCAAAATTTTGAAGGTATTGGTAAATAGGTAAGTTGAACTATCAGAGTTTCTCAGACTAAAAATCTTGATATCATCCTTGATCCACTTCCTCCTTTCATACCCAAGTCTAACAGATTGGTGAATCCTGTTATCTCAGCCTTAAAAATCTATCCGGAAGTCCACCACTCCTCCCTCCCCTTGTTAGAACAACTCTCATTCTCAGCAACAGAGTAAGGCGTTCCTTAGACACTGGCAGAGATATGTGAGAAGTCAATTAGGATGACAAGTAATTAAACAAAAAGTTTCTTAATTAGATAAAGAGAGAATCTGGGCTGGGGTTGTGGCTCAGTGGTAGAACACTCGCCTAGCATGTGTGAGGCACTGGGTTTGATCCTCAGCACCACATAAAAAAAGTAATAAACAAAATAAAGGTATTGTGTCCATCTACAACTAAAAAAAATTTAAAAAGACAGAATCTAACAGAAAGATTTAGAGGTTACTAAGAGATTCGAGGAGGAAAATGGGGAGTACCTTCTTAGAGGTTACAGAGTTTCTGTTAGGGGTGATGAAAAATTTTTGGAAAAAGAAATGATTGTACATATATTGTACATATAATTAATGTAACTGAATCATACACTTCAAATAGTTAATATGGCAAATTTTGTGTTATGTATATTTTACCATGATTTAAAAAGCTTTAAAGAAATCAAGACCTAAAGATACAAAGAACACTAAGACTTAATGAGAAGGGGCAGACAGAGGTGAGTTTCAATTGTAACATTTCCACTTTCGAAATTTGGTCTTAGGTAGAAGGTTGCTGTGTACTTCTGATCCTTGATTTCCTCATCAGTACATCAGGGGTCATATGACTCCCTTTAATAAAGATACTATGTGTACAATGTCCAGCAAGTAGTATGGACACAAATATTTATTCTTTTCCAACCCCTTTTCAGACCCATAGGAACTTAGACCAAGACAGGGCCTTGTGAGGTTCTCACATCCTCATTTTCACTATACACAGACAGTAGACCAAGACCAAAGGCCTCTCTGTGAAGTACTGACAGTGCTGGGCCAGTGATCAAACTCCTGCTCAGTCTATTGCAAGGTTAACAAACTGTAACCCAGAAGCCAAGTTCAGTTTACCATCTGCACTTGCATGGCCAGCAAACTACAAGATTGGTTGTACATATTTTAAATGGTTGAAACATATCGAAAGAGAAATGTAACATGACAGACAGATATTATATAACAACCATATTTCAGCGTCCACAAATAAAGTTCTATGGCAACACAACTATGCCCATTTGTTTACATGTTGTCACATGCTACAACTGCAGAGCTGAGTACTTCCAACAGAGACCAGAGAGCCCACAACACCTGAAACAAAAAGTGCTTCTTGGTCTGACACATCACACAGTGCTCTGAGGAGGGGCCAGGAAAGTTTATCAAGTGATGAACAAGCTCAATCTGAAAGAAACTATAATACATCATAACAAAAACAATGATAAAGCTGGGCGCAGTGGCACATGCCTGTAATCCCTGCACCTCAGGAGGCTGAGACAGGAGGATGGCGAGTTCAAAGCCAGCCTCAGCAAAAAATGAGGCACTAAGCAATTCAGTGAGAACTTATCTCTAAGATAAAAAAAAAATAGGGCTAGGGATGTGGTTCAGTGGTCAAGTGCTCCTGAGTTCAATCCCCAGTACCATAAAAAAAAAAGAAAGAAAAAAAAACAATGATAAGGTTTTAAATAGTGTTTATTATTTATTATATTTATTAACCATTACTGTTATTTTGCTGGATATATAATTATCTTTTCAATGAAAAATTCTCTATTAAGTATAACTTCTTAAACCAATTTGATGATTTAGTCATTAGTTATTATACTCAGAAATCTTGTAAAATGGAAGGATCATTAATAGAGTATTCATTTCACAATACGCTTTCACCATTCATATTCAATATATATTTAGAGCTTATTCATTAGTCAGTGGCATTATATTACATTATATGTTGCCAGGATTTAATAAGTGAGCTGTGTTTGCTCAGGAATATACTTTAGTTCCCCAAGAACTCAGATCTGTTACATAATTATATCACTTTTTAAGAGTATATTTATTGCTATCCTTTGAGACTTAAAATTAGAGCTGCTATGTTCAGAGAAAAACTTGTGTTGTGTTTGGATTTCAGATACTCAGCCCCTGCTATAATGAGTTCCTGAATGAAGAGGACTACTGGTTTCTTGTTTTTACAGTAGGAGGGACTTTGGGTTGGGGAGGAATTGTGGGATTGAGGAAAGAGGAGGCTTATTTGGTTAAGGAACAGGAGAAGGTGGTTTTAGAAGGCTTGTTTGTTAAAGTAAATGAAATTATGATTTATTCCTGGAGGCAACTGGAGATTGACTTAGTCCCTGATATTCTAAAGATAAGCCACTCAAGGAAAAAGATTCAGTGCAAAGCTGACTTTGAAGAAGTCACATTCATTTGGAAATTTTTCCCTATGGAAAAATGGGTTTGATTAAAAGAGAGTGGGGGTTAGTGTGTAAAAGAGCACTGGCTCTTAATGTATTGAAGACTATCAGCATAAGGCTATGTAACAGGGAGATAAGGAGGACTGAGTTATTACAAAACTCCTGCTTCTGGTCTAATTCCTATGTAAAATGCTGCCTGCTCCCCACCCTCTGCTCCCTCTCTTAGACTCAGACACGGTTCATCAAAAACCGGTGCCATAAAAGAAAATCTATAAGCAAAGAAGAGAACATTCTTCTTTATAAGAGGATTCAGAAATCTCTGGAGTTAACCCAGGCCTTGGCTAACATGGAGAAAATGGATTCAATGCAGTGGCCAAACGTAGCGACTGAGAACCTACGCCAAGCTGGGTCTCTCCAGGTAGAACTGCAGTCTCCAGTGTTTCTGGAAGGTAAGATATGTCACTGGGGCTTGTTGTTGTTTGTTTGTTTGTTTTTGTTTTTGTTTTTAACCCTTCTAGGAAACTGGAAAATTATAATTATTTAACATTTAGTGATTATTTCCTGTGTGTCAGCACTGTGGGATACAAAAATTACCACATTTGATCTTTAAAATAACGTAGGCAGTTAATTACTAAGTAACTGAGGCCCAGAGAGGATGATCTCCCCAAGGTCACAACCTCCCTGACAGAGGTCAGATTTGAATTCTGACAGACTGCTGCACCCCCTAGTGGATCTGAGGAAGCCAAAGCGCTCAAGGTGGGGCAGGCTCCTGCCCCTTCAAGCATCGCCACTGTTATTCCATTGAACCCTTAGGCTTTTGTAAATGCCACTCACTAGGTGAGCTTGGGCAAGTTACTACAGCTTTCTGAACCTCATTTATGCAGTTATAAAGTGGGATAAAGGCCTGTGGTTTAGTGATCATTGAGAATATTAGTGGTAATAAAAGAAAGCAGGTGCTCAGTTGGGCACGGTGGCAATCACCTGTAATCCCAGCAACTCGCAAGGCTGAGGCAGGAGGATTTCAAGTTTAAAGCCAGCCTCAGAAACTTAATGAGGCCCTAAGCAACTAAGTGAGACCCTGTCTAAAAATAAAATATTAAAAAAAAGGATGGGGATGTGGCTCAGTGGTTAAGCACCCCTGAGTTCAATCCCCAGTACCAAAAAATAAAAAATAAAAACTTCAGCAGACACTCTGTACAAAACAGATGCCCTGGATGATTGCCCCTTGGAGCCATGCTTGGGCATGGTTATTTAAATCTCGCCCTCTCCTTTTACCTTGGAGGTTTCACCTTCCCTCTAAAACCAGAACTTTCCAAAATTTCCCCCATAAATAATGACAAAAGTGGACGAAAGGATGGCTGGTGAACATGCTAGGTGCTGGGCATTCCTTGGGTGACCCTGGAGAGCCAGGTGTGGCCAGGAAGAGTGAGACCCATCTTCCTTCCTTCTCCTTCCTCGGCATGCGCTTCATCAGGTCCTTTCCCACTGCTTTTGGCAGCACGAGTCTGGCCTGATAAACTGCACTGTAAACTCACAGAGCACCCGAGCTAGAATACTCTCACCTTTTATGTGGACACACTGGGTCCCAGGAAGGCGGAAAGACTTTTCCAAGGTTGCTTGGTGAGGGAGGGGTTGACTCAGGCCTAGAAACCTGGATTCACTGAGAAACAACGTGCTGCTCCCACCACTGGATGGTCCTGACTGACAGATGATGGTGGTGAGGGTGAGGATAACAGCGATGATGCTCACAGGAGGAGTGGCGTTAAGTACTGGCCTGAATGGAGCGGTCCAGAAGAACTCTGTGCAACTGGATGAACTGTGAACACCACAAATCAACACAAAGGAGTGTTTTCCTCTTGGTAGAAGACAAAGTGCTGCTTTTCTGTTTTCTATAGCCCAGAACATTCTAAAATTTCCCTTGTAGCTCAACCTTATTGTCCCACAATATTTTTGATACGAAGATGCTACCTCTCAATTCACCATGCATTACCAGAAATCATGTGTGGTTGCTTCTAGGGAAAAAAAAAAATCCACCCCAATGAACAATGATTTGCCATTATTGATGCTATTTGGATATATGAACTGTCAATTCTGAAATTAATTCCAGAAGTCAAAGCCAAGAACAATAAAGGTCCTAACATTATTTGCCATGTACTTTCCTTAAATTCATCATTTTTGAAGCTATAGCAAAATATCTGAGATTTATTCCTAACCCCACCTTAGAAAAGATGATTACTTTGAATGGATCACCAGTCATTTGAATGAGATATTTCTTCTTTTTTTGTTGTTGTTGATTTGGGTTTTATTTTTTGGGTACTGGGGATTGAATTCAAGGACACTCTGCCACTGAGCCATATCTCCAGCCCTATTTTGTGTTTTATTTAAAGACGGGGTCTCAATGAATTGCTTAGCACCTCACTTTTGCTGAGGCTGGCTTCGAACTCATGATCCTCCTGTTTTAGACTCATGAGCCACTGGGATTACAGGCGTGCAGCACCACGTCTGGCTCTGAAAGAGATATTTCTTGTATGTGCATTAACAGTAAGTAGCTCTGTCTGCATCATACATCTGTACACTAGCCTCCCTCAGGCAGAAAATCTCAATGGGTCAAGCATTCCAGAGGACAGAATCCTCCCATTCTAGAGGGGAGGAAAGGCTATGTTTCTTTCTTTCTAATTTGGCTTAGAAAACTTATGTTCTTTATGTAAGCATTCCACCAAAACACTATTGTCCTATTTAAGTGGCCCTTTAAACCATATGCCCAAGAAAAGTCAGTGAATATTTGAACCTAGAGTGGATAACTAGACTCTCTGTTTTCCTTTACTTCACAGACATAAACAACCTGACTTTTGAGGAACTCTGCTTTAAGTATCCAAAGGTGGCCATAAAGAAGATCAGTGAAGACTACAAGTTATACTGTGAGAAAGCACCTCTCACAGGCAAGTGTTAAATTCAGGGGTAGATTTGAAGCAATTAGGTTTTCTCAAATCTGAGAGAAAATTTCCAAACTCAGGCGACAAAAATCCAAAGAGGAACCTTCATACCTTGTTTGTCATGGAAATGTAGTCAGAAGGTAATTGATTGTCTGTTTTTTTTGTTTTGTTGTTGTTGTTGTTGTTTTGCCTTCTACAGAGCCATAGAAGAGTATTAGGAAAATGAGATGTAATTATAAATTATCAAACATAGAGATCATTAAGATTGTTCATTCCTGATTTCCTGTCTAGTAGGAGTTTCACACAATTTGTATCCATCTTCTGCCAAGCTTCCTGGAGTCAGAGATTGTGGAAGGATGTTTGTTAGGGGTGTTCTTGGGAAGGACACCTCTAAAGGAATGAGGAGAACAGCACTGGGCAGAGGTCAAGGTGGACTGCCCAACTATGAGGCAGTCCCAACAGGCCTTAGCAATAGCACAGGAAACTCCAAAGCTAGGATGACCCTCCAGAGTTGTCCCTCACTGGAGCAACAGACCTGGGCCTTTGAAATTCCACGTGGACCCAGGTGGGAGGGCACACTTTGGGTCAGGCAATTTCCTTTGGCTGGGCAACTCCCAGAAGCAGCCCCATCTGGGAGCCATCAGCAACCGGCTCTCCAGGCAGCTGGGAATGAATGCTTTGGTCCTAAAGAGAGGATATAGATAGCACTCAGCAGCTCCTACTGCTGCCCACTTGCTTTGTATAGTAATTTCACCTCATCCCAGAACAGCTTCTCCAGGGATTGGGTGGGTTTCTTTTCCTTGGGAATTTATTCTAGAAAGGATGGCCTATACTACTACACTGTTTCTAATACTAATACTTCTCTTCTCCTTCCCATCCTATATTCTCCTTTTGCTCAACCAGTATCTCTACTAGTCTTGGGATGGGGCGGGGGGTGGCTCTCATCTCTGATGTCTCTGAGCCCCCGGTCATCATGACTTCTTGGGCGGTGGCCGCTTCCTTCATCAATTTATTATCAGAATTGAGCTAGAGAGTAACATGGGTGATAAGTGAATTCTCATGATCTCAATAATTAGGGATATATCCTATCAATATAATGACTCCTTTGTTGCCTGCTGGCCTCTTGACATGAAGAGTTTAAAGTGAATGGACACCTGCTCTGTCCTCTAGAAACATTTCCTCGCAGGGAACCAGAGTCTCTAGCCTGACACCATATATACAGGAGCCACTACCCCATGTGGTCATTGAGTTTTTGAAATGTGACTGAAATAAATGTGTTGAATAAAATATGGTATTAAAATTAATTGCACCCTTTTCCTTTAAGCTTTTTTTTTTAATGTGACTACTGGAAAATTTAAATCATATATGTAGCTCACATTATATTTCTATTGGAAAGCACTAGTTTGGACCAAAAAAAAAACTCAAGTTTTGAGGATGACAGATTTCTCTAGGTAAGTCACTGATTATAAATGGAACATTTCTACCTGCTTCCTCTTCCTATGAGCTCAGTAATAGTCCCCGCTTAGCCTTCTGTGATGCTTCCAGGAGAGCTCACAGAGGGAGTTTTTAACAATGTCTGGATCATATTACTTTCTCAATCATCCACAGCAGTTTGTATTATGATTATTCCAAAGCATTTCCAGAAATGTTGTGCCTTTGAATGCCTTTTCCTGGCATACACCCAAATCTGGACATGTTCATGGGCTTCTTGAGTCTCTGGTATGTGCAGGGGTTTTAACAACCCTTATTACCTTGTTCATCTTCTTTCCTAACCTCATCTTTTTGATTCAACTTTGACCCTCATCTTTTTTTGGCTTCAACTTTTGATCTAATTCTGTTCCAACTGCTGTTCCTAGACCCACATTACTGTGGGCAGTGCTTGTGCCTTTAAATGCTTTTGGCAAATGTCTCTTGGGTAGCCTCCCTATTCTCTGTGTGAGGAAGTCAGAAATTAAAAACAGTTTGGAGATTTTATTTTCAGTCTAAGGAAGTTCTCCTTAATTTTAGAGGGATTCCCTTAATTTCAGAAGGAGTCTATTTCATTCCTTATAATGCGATTTTACTCAACTTTGTGATTTTTCTTAGATTTTAAAGTGCAAATTGTCAAGGAACCAAAGGTAATTACAGCCCCACAAAGGAAAATATCCTTCTCCAAAAAATCTGGTACTAGGAAGCCCTCAGTGAGACCCAGGTAAGATGTAGGATCTGGCTATAGTAATATATCCAAGCACCACTTTTCCTTTGTATGTAAGTTTCCAGACCTTTTCCCGTGTATCTTACATGTATGAACAAACACACTTTGTATTTCAAATTATTATTTTTATTTTCTAAAAATGGCACCATGCAATATATATCATGCACTATTTTTTTTTATCTTAAAACTATCATGGACATCCTTTTAAGTGACTATGTATAGATCTACATCCTTCCATATTATGGATGTTTTGTGATTTATTTAACTGTTCTCTTTTTATGGACTGTTGTTAGCTTTTTTACCACTATGATAAAAATACCTCACCAGAACCACTTAGAGGAGGAAAGATTGATTTTGGCTTGTGGTTTCAGAGGTTCAATCCATGGTTGCCCAGCTCCAAGGCAGAATATCATGATGGAAGTTTGTGATAGCAGAAAGCTGCTTGGCTTATGGCATCTGGGAAGTGGGGGTGGAGGGAGCCAGGAATAGGATATAGTCTCCAAGTATCCAAGCACAAGCTCCCAGTGATCCACTTCCTCCAGCCACACCTCATCTGTGTGTAGTTACCACCCAGTCCATTCAAATTATTAATCTATCAAATGGATTAATCCACTGATGTGGTTCCAGCTCTAACCCAGTCTTTTTGCCTCTGAACATTGCTGCAATGCCTAACACATAAGTTTTTCTGGAGACATTTCAGATCTAAACCATAACATAGACATTTCCACTGTTTTTAATTTTTCATTGCTATAAATAGTACCATTATAAGCATTCTTTGTACATGTATCCTTACCCATTTTTTTTTCTGAATTATGTACTACTGTTGTAACTTCCTAACTGGTTCCCTACTTCATGTCTTCCGCTTTCTAATCAATAGGAGAGTGAGCTTCTGCTAGGCAAAGATTCTGTGGTCTTTTCTTTAAGAGCTTCCCACCCACCTTTCATTCCTCTTACAGCAAGTGATACCTAAGCATAAAATTTCTCCAAGTGCCAAGGCTGCTAAGACTTTCTTCCTCTCTGAAACCCTACATCCCAAAAATATAATCCTAAGCATGTAACATGTACTATTTTTTAGTGCTCTTCATTCTTTTTTTTAATTAATTAATTTTTGTTCCATTTTGCTATATATGACAGTAGAATGCATTAAAATTCATTTTGCACATATAGAGCACAATTTTTCATATCTCGGTTGTATACAGAGTATATTCACACCATTCGTGTCTTTATACATGTACTTAGGGTAATGATGTCCGTTTCATTTCACCGTCTTTTCTACCCCCATGCCCCTCTCTTCCCTTCCCACCCCTTTGCCCTATCTAGAGTTTATCTAATCCTCCCATTCTCCCCCTCCCAACCCCACTATGAATCAGCCTCCTTATGTCAGAGAAAACATTTGGCATTTGTTTTTTTTGAGATTGATTAACTTCACTTAGCATTATATTCTCCAACTCCATCCATTTACCTGCAAATGCCATGATTTTATTCCCTTTTATTGCTGAGTAATATTCCATTGTGTATATGTGCCACATTTTCTTTGTCCATTCATCTACTGAAGGGCATCTAGGTTGGTTTCACAGTTTAGCTATTGTGAATTATGCTGCTATAAACATTGATGTGGTTGTGTCCCTATAGTTTGCTGTTTTTAAGTCCTTTGGGTATAGACCAAGGATAGGGATAGCTGGCCAAATGGTGGTTCCATTCCCAATTTTCCAAGGAATCTCCATATTGCTTTCCAGATTGGCTGCACCAATTTGCAACAATATATGAGTGTACCTTTTTCCCCACATCCTCGCCAACACTTATCGTTGTTTGTATTCTTGATAGCTGCCATTCCGACTGGAATGAAATGAAATCTTAGAGTAGTTTTGATATGCATTTCTCTAATTGCTAGAGATATTGAACATTTTTTTCATATATTTGTTGATTGATGGTATATCCTCTTCTGAGAAGTGTCTGTTCAGGTCCTTGGCTCATTTATTAACTGGGTTATTTGGTTTTTTTGGTGTTAAGGTTTTTGAGTGCTTTATATATTCTCGAGATTAATGCTCTATCTGATGTGCTGTGAGCCTCATTCTGTAGGCTCTCTATTCATCTCACTGGTTGTTTTTTTCTGAGAAGAAGCTTTTTAGTTTGAATCCATCCCATTTATTGATTCTTTATTTTAATTCTTGCGCTACAGGAGTCTTAATAAGGAAAAAAAAAACCCTACAAGACAAAAAGAAAAAACTACAAGTCAAAAAGAAAGAGGGCTGCAAATGAAACACTAAAGCCACTTGTATTTAAAGAGCAGTGAAAGAAGGAATCAGTAAAGGAAATTTTGAAATAATGGATCAATAACTGCTGATCAGTCATGCTCTGTCTCACAGAAATGACTGTTCCAATGGGGAGTTGCTTTAAATCCATGATGTGAAAACAGAGTTCCCTTGGGAAAAAAAAATTACCTTCCTTCAAAATTCCTCCCCTCCTCTTCGACCTGTTGTCAACTGGACCAGGTTTAAGAAGGGCAGATGAAAATTCAAGTTAACCTCCAAGGAAACAGCGCTAACCAATTTGTCAGCCATGCTCTTCACACATGGCTAGAGGCTCTGCAGCCCGAGATGCCCTCCCCCTCCCTAATTAGAGCAGAACCCAGGGTCATCATCCTTTGTCCATAAGCCATGCTCCTTCCTCTTGTCTTCCAGGAACTTGACAGAAGTCCTCCTAAATTCACAATACCTGGAGCTCTTCAGGGAGTTCCTCAGAGAACATAACGCGGAAAGCCCATTACTATTCCTGATAGCTGTACAGAGGATGAATTCGAAAGCCAACGAGAAGACTTACAGGTCTTCATTGGAAAACATAATCCAGACTTTCTTCCATGGCAAAATCCCTCCTGGTATGCATCTTTTTCTCCAGCGTCCTGTTTCCTTCTCTCTTTAATGTCCAGAGAAATAGCCTGTCTCACCTAACCCGGAGAGAGCCCCACAGAGCAGTGGCCACAGGGGGACAGAATTGAGACAAAGACCAAGACAGGCAGTGAAAGCAGAGAAGAATTAATAAATCCAAAGTTGTAATATTAGTAAAGGAAGTCAAGTGTAAAATACTTTCACATACATCCTCTCATTTGATTCTATTTAATCCTAAAAGCAGACTTTCCTTTAACCCCTCTGAGGTAGGGATAATCTGCTGCATTTTCTACATGAAGTTGAAAACCCAGTTTAGGTAGAACTTGAGTTCAGAATCAAGTCATCTGATCATCAAGTCAACTAGGCTGGAGCTAGATGCAAAGGCAAGGCAAGCTGTGTATGCCACACTGGAGTGTTACCCTCCGGGGCCACCTTGACCCACCCGTGGGAATTGAGAAGACAGTTGTTCCAGTTGTACCAGGGAGAACTGTGTGGCTGTTGTGTTTTCTTACCTAAGGCAGGAGGGTAAACCTGGCCCATGTAAATTTACCTTGGCCAGAAGCAAAGGCTGCAAGTAAAATATTGACTCGGGGGTGAGCACATTCCTATCCTGGAGGTGATCAAATCTATAGAAAAATCATGAAGGCAGAGCTTCCTGTTTAAGCACAGATGAACAGAAGTGGGTCTAGGGGAGATTTTGTTTTCAGTTAACCAAGAGGAGGGCATAAACAGAAAAATAGAAAAAGTGGTAAAAGTCTTTATTTGTAAGAAATACTTATTTGTGGAGCCCCAGAATATTGAGTTCTATACATGGCTTTGAATGAACCAGAAGAGGAAAGAGGAGTACTCAGATCCTGTCCTTGATCCATCTTGGAGCCTCATTAACCAGCACCACAGTCTCCCATCCCTGGAGCACCAATTGACATTACCTGCCTATTGGTAATCCTGGATTCCCCATCTGCCCTGCCAGACTTTAGTCCTTCACTTGTATGTGCTCTCCTTAAATTGAAAACTTCCCACCAGCTGCAGAAATGAATCCTTTAAATTTTTATTTTCCAAAAATATGGGGAAAAAATTTTAAATAAAAAAAAATTCATTTTCCCTTAAGCACTCATCTTTGAATTAGAATGGAACTAAAGCAGGACTGCTATTTTATCCACAAATACACTTGCACGTACCGTTCCAAATATGCTTTAAAGATGTTCAAATTGTAGAAGGCTCAGAGTTAAACCAGATTGATCGGGGACTGTGAGTCCCTAAGGTGAAAACACACCTTACCTCAGAACTGGGAGATGAGGATGACAGCCATTTTTTTTTTCTTTCTTGCATTTTTTTAGAAGAAATGCTGCAGTGCGATGCCCCTCTCATCAAAGAAGTCACTGAAATGAGTCAAGTCAGTACAACCACATTGCTAATGGTCCAGAGCCACGTCATGAAATCTCTGGATGAAAAGTGGTGAGTATGAAGGCAAAGATTCGTGGGCTTTCCAAAGCCATATTAATCAAGGGTCTCACAATCCCTTCTCACAACTCATTGCTCCAGACTCCCAAGCAAAGAAAAGCCAAGCTTATCTTGAACCCTCTGTCTACCTGCGCGCACGCGCGCACACACACACACACACACACACAGACACACACACACACACACACACACCGTTTCTGCTCTGTTGCCTTAAAGAGGAACAATGTTGATCAGTAAAGGTAGACTGATACCCATAAAGGATTGAAATGCTGGCGAGATGGGTATTTTTGAGTGATTCACCGTCCATCTCCCACTGCAGCTCCCTCCAAAAGCTGAGCTAGGTTTGCCTCAATTGTTTATTTTTCATGTACCAGGTTTTGCCTTTTTGGATATTCTTGGTCTCCCTTCTGGCAGGTTTAAGGATTACCAAGATATATTCCCGTTTCCTCCTCCTTCTCCGGAGGTGGAGTCTGAAGCACCAGCTCTGCCTAAGAAGCCCTCAAAGATAACAATGTACCTGCAGGAATCCCAGGTCAGTGAGAAGAGAGTGAAAAGCAGACACTGGACACAAGAAAGCCACTGTGTAGGCATCATCAGCTGCACATGATTACCACCACTCACCCATTTAATCACCAAAAGAATGACCCCTGGGGCTAGGTTCTTAAAGGCCCACTTTATAAAGGAGGAATCTGAGGCTCAGAGAAATGGTTACACTGGCAACCTAAAGTCCCTCCCTTCTCCACCTATGATTAAGACCAGCTGATTGATGCACCCAGGAGTTGGGCACACAGGACCAAACGGACATTTTCTCACTGCTGAAGGCTGTTTTAGAGGAACTGAAGCCAAGAGGTTTTATAATCTTCTCTGAACCCCCATTAGACCAACTTCCACATTTAGTCACTGGCATAACAGGACAACTTAAGCCTCCACTTAACAGGGTGAGCCCCAAACTGTATAACAAGGGGTGGGGCTGACACAAGTGATCAATAGATGAGCAACTTCCAGAGACACATGCCAAGGGCTGAGTGCAGTGCACCCATTTCCTTCTCTCACACATGTTGTCTAGCTTATTTATTTCTCACAGCAGGAAGGAAAAAAGGAAGAAGAGACTAGATAGAGTGCTACTCAGAAAAATCTCTTCATACAGTTTGAGAAAAGACACAGAACCCTTCAATAATTACTTGCTCAATGTGTTTCACCATTGGTTAGAACCATAAAAATTTGAGCCCAACTGTATAATGCCAAAGATCACGCTAATAAGGTATCTCTGGAAATAGTGCCAAAGCCCATTGATCCACAACTCCACAGGTGAAAAAGTGTTGATCTCTCCTTTCTCCTTTGTATTTTCTCTATATCTGGATTGCCTTTATGTCAGGGCATCGTGAACAATCACATATGATGTTTAAAAGAATTCTGTACTCAGAACCAGGACACTTGTTTTCATTTCAGATCTTCCAGTTGCTCTTAGTTAAGATTAGAGGAAACCAGCATGTTCTAAGCCCTGTGTTAGGGTTTCCCTGTATAACCACTAAGCTTCATCACTACACAACTACTTCATCACGTCATCACTACACTGAAGGCTATTGTTTCTGTCTTACATATGGAGATGTTTGGGTACAGGTCAAGGGAATTGAACGAAATTACATAATTAGGGAGAAGTGAGGCTCCAGACTCAATGCTTCTAATGCCAAAACCAGTGTTTTTCAGACCTCACTATGACTGTCTAAAACCAGGCTTACGCTGAGGTCCCCTCTCGGTAGAATGAGACAATTGAGCTAGTTGTTAATCAGCGAGATTCTTTATGGCTATAAATATCCATTTACCTAGGAGTTAATGAACTGGATAATGGTCACTAGGTACCTATTAAAAAGAGATGAAGATTCACTCCCCATATGGGCCACCAGAGAGAGGGAGGGAGAGAGAGGAAGAAACATAAAATTTATGGGTACAGTTTTATGGGTGTGATGGGTAGATATTAGTGGGTGCATACAATTTTAGTTTTCACTTTTAAATGTTTGGCAATGGTTTTGCTCATTTCCTTGTTCCTTCAACATTTCAAAATCTGCCTGAACCATCATTCCTTTCTTGTAAGCTGCTCTTACCTATGTCCCGTGTTTGTTCCTGTTTGAGCATTCATGCTCCCTCTCCAGTGGCACCTCAAGTCATTGTTGAAAGACTGGTAAAAAGAGAATGGGCAATGGCCCCAGCTATACCTAGTGGAAACTGGACTCTTCCACCCACCAGCTGCTTGATTTGAGACAGGTTAAACAAGCTCTTTGACTTGAGTTTCCTTACATGTAAGTTAGTGCTAAAAATTATTCCTAAGAAATGTTGGATTAGATATAATGAATGTTGAGTTTCTGGCACACAGTAGACTCTCAGTGAACAGCTACGCCAATGAATGCAACATCCTCTCTTTCTTTTCCCAGAAAAAAGGGTGGCTGAAAATGACCAGCTTTATCAAGAGCTTTTGCAAGTACCGCAAATTTATTTCAAATCCCAGTAAGCGCCAGGAATTTATAGACTATCTTCACTTGGAAATGTGCAATAGCAAAGACAGTAAGTTACTTCTCTGTTTACCCCCTGGACATATTTCAGCCACTAGAATTAGCCCTGATAAGAAGCACAGAGCTTATTGCTTTGTGTCATGACTATGTCAGCCTGGAGTCTAGCAAGAGCCCCAGGTCCTGAGTGCTGAGACTCACCCAGGCCTCCTTGGACAGCAGCCTCTGCTCAGGGAGCCAGTGAATATGAAGGATGGCTAACAAGGTCTCAAAGTTTATAAGACGATTTCCTGGTGTTGTTTAATTTGATCTTTCAAAAATCTTTTTAAAATTTTTCTGCTTGTAAAATTAACATAATATTAATAAAGAGGTAATTAAAAAATTATAGGAATATATAGCATAGAAGTGAAAATCCTTTAAGAGATAACATTGTTAAAGCTTCGCAAATCTACCTCCTGATTATTTTTTATGTATCTCTTAACATATTTTTCCAACAAAATGCCATGTGCTCCCTATTTTATAACTTGCTTGTTTTGCTTAACATCATATCGTAGATGTTATTTGATGTCAGTATACATCTCTCTGCCTTGTTTTCAACTGCCATAAAGTGTCCCTTGTATGAATTTATCCAACTGCTTCATTCATCCATTCTTTCATACTTTTTGAGACTTTACTCTGGCACACACTCCAGGTGCTGGGGACACATGGGTGAACATGCACCAAGCGAATCTTCTCTTGAGGCACCTATAGTTTTCAAATAGAAAAAATTGAGCCAGAGATGTTGGAGCTGGATTGCCTGGGTTTAAATCTACCACTTTCTATTGCAAAGACTTGGGATAGTGACTTTGTGCCTCAGTTTCTCAATACATGGGAGGGATAGAATCCATCGGATAGAATAATTATTCCTATCCTATACGGTTGTTGTGACAATGAAGCGAGGTAATACATTTAAAGCATCTTAGAACTATTGGCAATAGCATTGAACTCTAAAAGGGTTAACCAAAATATTGCTATTATTACATAATTTTGATGAGTGATCCCAGTGATAGTTACAGGGAGACCCTGATGAAGAGTGGGGGAGTGCTCAGGGAAGACTTCTCCCAGAAAACAGCAGAAAGCTGAGTTTTCAGGAATGATCAAGCTAGACAGGTTGGGTAGGAGGGAACAATGGAAGCAATGGTTGCTAGGTGTGCAAAGAGGGTGGCAAATCAGGAACTGCAATCAGACCAGCTGAACCAGATCAATGCAATGGGGAAAGTCCCCGAGATGAGACTCCAGAGTTTCAACAGTGACAAATTATATTTTTCTTAAGGACTTTTGAGTTGTTATAACATGCACCTAAAATTACCAAAGAGAGAGAGGCACAGAGAGAGAGAGAGAGAGAGAGAATTTTTCTGAAATAAATTCCTTAAAATGTTAGTACTGGGTACAGGGTTAAACAGTTAAATTTTGGCCCTCCAAAACCACTAATGTATACTCTCATCAACAGCATCATCTAGTGTCTTGATTCCTCAAATTCTCACCAGTACGGAATATTAAATTTTTTTGAAAACTGCCAACTTGTAAATGAAAAATAAATGTACCATTTTTATTTGTATTTCTTTAGTAGTTAAGCCTTTTTATTTATTAACCATTTGTATTCTTTTTTGGACTTTTTTGTATGTGTTCTTTGTCTTTTTTTTCCTATAGAAATTTTAATATTATTTTTTTAATTTGCAAAAACTTTTGTGTGTATCTTTCACTAACTGCTTTACAACCAAATGTTTGGGACTCAAGGGGCTGGGGATATAGCTCAGTTGGTAGAGTGCTTGCCTGCCATGCACAAGGCCCTGGGTTCAATCTCTAGTACCACCAAAAGAAAAAAATAGGATTCAAGAATAAGTCTAACTCTTCTGTTTCCTCTTTTAAATGAAAATCAGCTCAAGGCCTCATGCCCACCTCCCAGCGTTGTCTGATGGCCTAGGAACAAGAGCGCCTATTCCACTCCACGGGAGGCCTACCTGGCCCCACTTCCCCTCAGACTCAGAGCCGAGCCTGGTGGTATTCAATCTGCCGCTGGTTCACATCATTTATTTTCAAGTACAGATACATACAAGTGACAGTAGAAATAACTGAATATCTCCTGTTCAATCCAAGAAATAGAAAAATGGGTAAATCAGATGACACTCTGGGCTTGCCTTCACTCACCACAGACGGAACCTCTTTCTTGAACATAAGTGTTTGATTATTGTCTTTTAAAATGTATGTGTTTCCATAGCCTCCCTGTATTGACTAAAACAAGTCTCTGATTCCCTTTGGAACCTCCACTCCATTCCTGTTACTGATTGTCTTGGGTCATTCTGTGCTTTTTGTTTTGCCCGAGAAAACAGAAGCAACCAGAAGAGAACTTCCGGAGCTTTCTTTCACCACATTGCCTGCTCAGCACCCCCTGCACTCAATGCTCTTGTCACCCGGAGGAAGTGCCTTGCTTCCTCTTCAGTGAGCCCACTCACGTCTTCCCAAGGCCACTAATTGAGCCAGTTTTGTTTGTTCTCTTGCATAAGTTTAGGGGTTTTTGGCTTTTTGGTTTTGCTTTGCTTTGCTTTGTTGTTGTTTCTGAATTACTCAGCACCAAATATGGCATAGTACTTCTCAACTAAAAATTAATAATAATTTCTCCCTGGTCTATATTCCATTCCAGCTATCTAGCACATTTGTCTGTTTCCCTTTTGAAGAAAAACTCTCAAGAATTATGCATTTGGGCTGCACTTATTTTTTCTTTTCTTCCCATTCATTTTTAGACAACTTTAAAAAGTCACTTTTTAAAACTACAATTTGCATATAGCAAATTTCACCAGTTGTGAATGGGGATGAGCTTTAGCAAATGCAGCTACTCCTGCCATCATGTTATTGAATATTTCCATCATCACAAAAAATTGCCTCATGTCCCCTTTTTGTCAACATCCTCCCCCGTCTACTACCACAGTCTGGTCCGGCAACCATCGATCTGCTTTCTCTCACTATGTTTAGCCTTTTCTAGAATATGCTATAAATGGAATGAGGCTAGCTTCTTTCACATAGCATAAGGCTTTTGAGATTCATCTGTGCTACTGTGTATCTCAGTAGTCCATTCCTTTTTATCTCTGAGTAGTATTCCATTGTACCGCACCATAATTTGCTTATCCGTTCACTAATGGATAGACATTTGGCTTGTGTCCACTCTTGGGATGCTATGAATAAAGCTGCTATAAATATTCAAGTTGAAGTCTTTGTGTGGATATGTCATTTCTCTTACGTGAATACCTAGGGGCAGAATTGCTGGGTCATGTGTTAACTGTATGTTAACTTTATAAGAAAATTCCAGGCTGTTTAACAATTTGTCTTTCAGAATGATTGCCCTGACTATAATGTAAAGAATGTACCACAAGGAAGCAAAGTAGAAGAAGAACAGTCAGGGCTAGGACTAGGGTGAGGCCAGTGGCCATATAAGGCATAAAAATTAAGAAGACTGTGACTCTCAGGGTCACACAAGGCCGACTCTACACTTGTACCACATTAAGTGAAGGTGTGTCCTTCAGTTCTGTGTTCTGGGTACCTCAGTCTCCTTACCTAGTCTGGACCCTAAGAAAACTCAGTTAAGTGGTTTTCACAATAACTGAAAGATAACGAAACGACGATGGCTGGAAAAATGCAGTTGCAACAAAGACAAATTGTGGGTACATTTGAAATATGTTTAGAAAGCAACAGAGTAAACTGAGTATTGGATGTGGAAAGAGGAGGCAGTCAACTATGACTCCCAGGTAACAGCAAGTTGGAACTGCTGACATCGGTGGGTGAGAGATAATTATTAAATATTTGTGAATTTTTGAACCAACTGATATGCCATCAGTAGCTTGAAATTAATTACAGGGGTAATATTTGCTATAGAAATCAGCAGATAACATAAATCAGTTCTCCCTTCTACCACCAGAGCCAGTTTACAAGCATAACACAGCTTTTAGGTTTCCTGGGTGGAATTAGTGCCTTCTTTTCCTCCTACCCCTGATCCTCACTCAGTTCCCACTGTTATCCAGACTTGTCTTTTTCTTTAAAGTCAAGTCTAATAAAGAGAGATTATAAAATAGTAAGTCAGGGAACAGGTGTCTTAGCCAGTGCAGCAGTAACCCTTGGACCCAGCACATTACCTGGGACAGAACAAGTGCTGGGTGTTGCAGTCACCCTCCTGTCCTACATATTCCAAAAGGAATCCTGCTTGTATCACACCCCCATCAGTCACTCCTGAAGGACCTCAGAATAAAGTATTTACAGAAAGAAGCGTGAACTCTAGAGATGGAATAGACAATTTTCTTAATCCCAGCCGAGTAACTAACCAGGATCTGCTTGTCAGATCCAGCCTCAAACTGTTCTCTTCTCAGACATGAATCCCTGTGCATGGATCTCTTTGGATTTATTCTAGTCTAGAAACTTTCTGAAAGAAACCAAATCTTCTAGAAGCTTCTATGCGCCCCTTTATTTATTCTTACCTCTTTACTACTGTGGCTCTCTACCCTCAGTTTCTTTAGTAAACCTTTATGTTTTGCCTTTTCCTTTATGTTGTTTTCCCCCATTTACTCCAGATTGCTTCCTTGATAAACAGAAAGTCAAGTTGGCTGGTTCAGTTTTCACAGTCTCTGCAGAAACCTTCGGATTTAGCATAACTACACTGTGATTATCTCTCTCTCCAACAAGGACCATGAAAATATCCTTTGGTGCTCAACTGAGTTTTTGTTTTTTTGTATGTGCCTTGTCACACAATCTGAGCAGATGGATTTTTCAGCAGCCCTTCAAGTCTAAGGGGCTGTTTGCCTAATGGTAGAGAATGACCATGTCAATAGGCTCAGAGGGTGGGTCCATGTCTCCTTTCTTCATTGTAGTTATGCCCAGGCTGAAAGCTTCAGACTGAAGAGTGACTTCGTCACACCAGATTATAATTACTTCCTCTCTCCCCCAGATTTCCCCGGGTCATCCAGTTTATCAGTACGTCCAATCCCATTGTCCACCAACATCCAGAGTGCAGACCCAGAGAATGGAGAGATGACCCTTCTAAAGCGCCGTATATATGGTCACAGGGTCATCATTGTCAACTTTGCAATTAATGATTTATATTTCTTATCTGAAATTGAGAGGTAAGTTCCCCATCTCTCCTTCCTTTCCTTCCTCTCCTGACTTTCCATCCTTAAAACCTCCCGGCATAGATTGGCTTGGTGTAAGAAGTATAGTGATTCAGCCCCACCAAGCAGTAAAAAAAAAAAAAAAAATCTCCTCTAAAATCTCCTAAAAATAAATGCAATTGAAAGAGCACTTAGCATATCATCTGGCAGGTGATCTGTGCTCAATTAATACTTGTCAATGAGTGAATTATGGTTGAATGAAGTCACAACCTGGCCCAGAGCTGGCCCTGCCTTTTTCAAGCCAGAAATAAGTCTGGTGCCCTACACTCACTGTTCTCATCTTCTCCTTGTGATTTCTTGCATCATGTCTCTTCTTCAGATTTAATGATTTGGTGAGTTCAGCTCAAATGCTGCAGGTCAACAGGACATACACTGAGAATGACCTACTGCTGCTGCGGGCCAAAATTAACATTATCCTAAGGCTCTTCCTGAATTCTGACATCCCTCCAAAGCTGAGGGTAAGGAGGACTCCCACTCCGCTTTGGCATTCACCAAGAAGTAATTCTCCCATAAAAACCCTGAAAGCTAATTGCCAGGCATGTCCTGAGTCTTGGACCAACTCAATGTCCTACATAGCAGCAAGCCCACAGAAAGCTCTGCCTTCTGGAATGGGGTGGTCTTGAGGGTCCCGGGGGCTAGGAGAGATGGCCCGCCTTTCCTGGAAGCTCTGCCGGTAACAGGCTCCACTCTGTGGGTAGGTGAATATCTCTGAGTCCCAGAAGGAGGCTATCCTTGCTGCAGTTTCAGAGGGCCACCTAGATCGGACCACCTTCCACGGGGCTGTCATGTCCATCTTCCCCGTCATTATGTACTTCTGGAAAAGGTAACCCTCTCCCTTTACCCAGCAACTGCCAAGCCAGGAAAACACATTTAGCTTTCCAGACAGACTGCTGTCTTCCTCGGGGCCTCTCGTTCCTAATTTCCATTTTCGTGGGGAATATGATGGCGGTTCTTATCCTACTTGATGCACTCTGTCCCTCACACTGAACGCTGAATCAGAGGATGGAGGAGGAGTGAGACAGGGAGGCAGAACAAGGGGCTCCTCGGCTCTGCTCTCCCTGGTTTGCCTGGAGTGACAGCGTGAGGTTTTCTTGGGCCTTTCTCACCTAAGGGTGAAGTGGATATAGCTCCTTGGGGAGAACTTGTGTCGAGGCTGACCAACACAGTTGCTTGTGCTTTGGAGCCTCGTGGAAAGAGTCACACAGAAGCATTTTACTGCTGCGTCCAAATTATTGCCACTGTGATAATTTGCTAAATATTTCAATTTTCAAGAGGAAGTAGAAATTCAGAACTTTATGACACGTCTTCCAAGGTTAAAGTGGCAAATGTGGCAACTAATTCAAAATGAAAATGTGGTGAGGAGCCTGTGAAGGCCAAAACGTGAAAAGGAACAAAATATCCACAGACCAAAGGCAACCTGTGCCCACTGGTTCCTAACCTGCCCCAAGGAGTGGGCTGGCCGACTGGCCTCCATTCTCCCAGTTCCCCTGTGTTCTGCCACAGTCCCACTTCATGTCTTCCACATAGTATGTGGCAGTGACCAGAGGACAACTGTGGTATTTCCCCAGACAAGACTAATGGGGATCATGATTTGACTCTGTCTCCTCAGTTTCCTTTCTTTCCTTCCAAAATGTGACTTTAATGAAATAAAATTATAAAATCTGCTTACCAACCTTTATTTTAAAATCCCTAAGATTAATAAATTATTTAAAACAGGTTTACATAAATACAAAAATCTTAATTTGTAAGCAGTTAACCTTTTAAATATCAATTGCTATCTGATGGCACTAATTTTAGTTCTCCTAACCAGGACTAAATAGAAAACTCATCCTGGGACCTTTTAAGGGAAACTTCTGAAAAATATGCTTCTCCTGGTCCAACTCAGTGCTCTGCTTCCCAGTCTGTCTTAAGAAAGATTACAGTTGCTTCAGAGGGTTTTTGATCCTTAATCTGTATGCAGTTGGTTCTTTACTTGATTTCCTATACACTTGCAAAGAGATTTATGTTGTGCAAATTGTGTTCATGTGTATTATCTCAAAGAATCCCTCAACAACACTATGAGGTGGGTGTGCAAAGCATTATTTCCCCTGTTTTACAGATGAGGAAACTGAGGCACAGAGTAGTTAAGGGACTTGCCTAAGGCCACTTGGTAAGTGGTAAAACCAGGATTAGAAGCCAGTTCTCTTGGTCTCTTTCCAGCATAAGTAATGCACCTGTGGCATACTGGAAAGTCAGGGGAGGGACACTGTGCAGCAGGTGGGATGGGACTAAGCAACGGTGATAGAAGAGCTGCCCCTCGGGGAGTGGAGAGGACAGCAGCAGGCAAGACCACCAGAGCCAGGGGAGCATAGAGAATAAATAAAGTCTTAGCCAAGACGGAACAAGGGGTCCAACCCCAGGACTGGCAGAGGGTAGCGAGGAGCTAGGGGGCCAGGGAGGATACCACAGTGAGTGCTGGGGGGCCCTAGGGAGCAACAGTTCTCAGGTCACAGTGATTCAGGAGCCTGGGGAGCCACTGGCTATTCCAGAGAAAGGCCTGCTGAGAAGAAGGTAGGAGATCCAGGACCTCAGGAAGGGGCGGAGGGAAACCCGGGCGGACATTCCAGCTGCATCAGCTGGGGTTAAATAAAGCAAGCATCCCAAGAGTTATCCCTGCTCCAGGACCAGGCATAGCAGATTCTTCACCAGCTCCATTCACTAGTGGCTCCAGAAGAAAGTCCCATTGTACAGCAGGCCCTTGCTGAAGCCAGTTCTGGACAAAAAAGAGACCTCAGAAGAAGGGCCTCTGAGAGCAACACTGGAGGCCATGATGCTCTTCTCTTCTCCGTTGGACACCCGTGCTCTCTGAGGACTGGTCCTCTCCGGTTTCCCCTGGCCTCTTTATTCTAGCCCCCTCCACAGGGGGTTTTCTCCCTGTGACTGAAGGCCCTTCTTCCCACAGGTTTTGTACTTGGAAGGCAGCCCACTCTTACCTGCAACACATGGGAAAGGGAATGAAAGACAGAAAATGTGCTTCTAAACCTGCATACAAATACCCTCCTTCAAGTGGAGGTAAGCACTCATCCTCATCCTGCAGCAACTGAGACTTAAGAAGAGAGAGCAAGGGCCCAAGGGCCAACTGTCAGACTCACAGGGCACAGGGGGGTGTTTGCTGGAACAGTAGATAGCTCCTTAACTTGGTCCTTGGAGAAATGGGAGGACTCAGGGTAAAGTACATCTTATCTGTGGCTTCCAGCATTATCGAAAGGATACCTCCTCCATTACTGCTCCCCAGCACTGGCTCCCATGAGACTTCGGGGCCTGGCGCCACGGTCCACTTGGTGGCACCTGGAGGCGGTAACTTGCCTCACTGCTGTTTAAGAGGCTCCCTGCCCCAACTATCCATTAAACCCTACTACTTGAAAAGCATTTAATTTAAAGAGTTAAGTGAGAAAAAAATTTAAAATTGGATTAATGGCATAGTTTTAATGTGATACATATGTGTGTGTGTGTGTGTGTATCTTGTTACAGATACATATAATTGTATAAAAGCATAGGAAAAAACCTTAGAAATAAAGATAAAAGTGTCAATTGAGTTATCTCTGGGAGGTGTGATTGTGAGGGATTAATATAGTTATTAATCTACATATATCATATAATCATGTATTAATATGCCTATTTAAAATGATATATAACATTTAATATTTATTATAATATATTACATTATTTAAAATATATTATTAATATGTTTATTTAAAATATAAATAAGCATATGTACTTTTACTTAAAGTACATATGCTTATTTATACTTAAGCATAACTTAAGTATATATATTTATTTAAGTATATATTTAAAAGATATTTATTATTTAAATAAATAAGTATATATCTATACCTTTTTTATACATGTGTACTTATTTATATTAAATATATTATATATAATTTGTATATGTATTTAATTGTGTGTATACACACACACACATTTTCTTGGCACAAAGCCATTAAACCCAGTCCCTTTCCTAATATGGAAATACAACTAAGATTAGTACTTTAGTGCAAGAGAATTTTAATGAAGGGAGGAGCATGGGACAGGTCAGTCTACTCTCAGTAGAAAGTTCTGGAAATCAGAGTCTGTGAATTTAAGGACAAGACCAGCATCAGAACAAAAGCAGAGATAGGAGAGGAATATTAAAAACAGCAACTCATGGCACTATGGTGGAGCAGAACATTCTCTTGATCTGGCTGAAACCTGCCTTATTCTCATATCCATTTTCCCAGACACCCAGCCCTGTCCGCATGCCAGCTTTCATGTCATACATAACACCCGCTTCTTAGCGTGCCAGCAAAGACCCTTGGGAACAGCTGGGGAAGCGACCCTGGGCCCACTGCAGGGCCTGACTCCTGCTCCTCTGATAGGAATCTCTGTAAGCACAGAAGTGACCCAGACGGGTGCCCACCTCATGAATCCAGCAAAGCCTTTATTCAGCAGTGAAGTCAGGCAGCGGAGGGCTCACTTTCTGGGTGGAAAATGGTACTGATTACGGGGGAGGTATGGGTCTATATAGGTTACGTTGGGGGGTGTCTCAGTTCTCGAAGACTGTGACAGAACATGGACAAAAGGTTGCAAATATTTGGAACTTGTTTCCTTCTGGGCACAGTTTTTAATTAAGCAGTATTTTTACAGGACAGGGATAGAGGGTTCCGGGTTCAGAGTCCAGTGCTCATCTGACCTCCAGGGGTCATTGTATTGCCATGGGAATAAGTTCAATGTGTAGTTTCACTGTCATATCACTGAGAAGTGATTTATGGAAAAGATCAAAGCTTTGGCTTCTCTCTCCCTCCCTCCTCCCAGGTCACACTCTGTGTTGGGGATTTATCAATTTCATTATCCTTCAATCTCACCCCTAGGAAGTACATCACCTACCTCCCTAGCTGAAGCTGCATGATGACCATTAACTCAACAGCCTTGTGCCTTGCAAAATGTTAGGTCAGCAGCCGGAAATCAGGAACCTCTCCAGTACTTGGGGCAAAGTGTCCTTATGGACAAGAGGGCTTATTTAGGATGGGGGTAAGGAGATGTAGAAGGACTTAGGCAGCAAGGGCAAGATGGTGAGTGAGGAAGTTAGGGACAGAGCCAGAACAAAGGAGCATGGAGAGAGTCTTCTAATGAGGTCAACATCCTGTTGACAAAAGTGCTCACAGGCTGGGCAGGCCTGTAATCCCAGCGACTCAGGAGGCTAAGGCAGGAGGATTTCGAGTTCAAAGCCAATCTCAGCAAAAGCAAGGTGCTAAGCAACTCAGTGGGACCCTGTCTATAAATAAAATAGGGCTGGGGATGTGGCTTAGTGGTTGAGAGCCCCTGAATTCAATCCCCAGTACCAAGAAAAAAAAAAAAAGAGCTCACAGACACAAGCAGGGGACTCAATCAGACAGACATTTCTTGTGCTCTAAGTGGGGATCCAATAGAAAAACTGAAACAGGTGTGTGGATGGATGGGCACCTATCAATACATTGAGGAGAGAATGGACAGGGGAGGAGATAAGGGAAGGAAGAAATTCCAGAGACCATAAAAAGAACAAGCCAAAACTCCTCCACCAGATTCCCGGCTCTGGGGCCCCTTCTCTTTGGAGAAGTCTGTCTCTGTCACTTTTGCAATAAACCTGCTGCTTGCCTGTATCTCTGTGTCCTGTTCTTCAATTCTTTGCTGAATGGAGACAAAGAACCCAGCACCCCTAGGCGGTAACAGGAGTGTGGATGGAGGACAAGGAAGGAAATAGAAAGGAGGAAAAAGGGAGAGAGACGCAGATAGGCAGGGCAAGTAATCCATACCTGGGCAGAGAAGAAGAAGTGCTCTACAGTGGAAGCCGAAGAGTCCCAGCCTCTGGCATATTTCCTGTAGCTGAGCTCCAGGGAAGTAAATCCCTAAATCTTCTCTGGTATTAAAAGGGAGGAGAGGGCAGTGGAATGCCCAGAATGAAGGGATCAGGGTCCAGGCCCAGAGAGCCCTCACATGGGCTGAAGGACCCCCAGAGAGCCCTCACATGGGCTGAAGGACCTTGAGCATTCTTTCCACCCACTGCCAGATTTAAGATACAAAAGTCTGGACTTATTAACACCTGCAATGTGAGAAATGTTAGAGAAGGGCTTTTTGCTTGCTTCGGAAGATTCATCTTCTTAGGTGTCGTAGGGTTTTTAACACACTGCTTTCCTCCTTCTCCAGGAGACCAGGGCGTCCTAAGATTCACCCTGCTCAGAGGTGTGGAGTGGTTTGGGCCTCAACAGCGGGGGGATGCAAGTTCAATCCAAAATTGTGAGTTGGAAATCCACTATTCTCAAGAGTCCACTACTACTCAATTAGAGGTTGGTTAAGGCAGCTTGGCCTGCCCACTTACTGACTAGGAGGAGACTGAGACCCCACAATAGGAAGTGACTTGCTCAAGGTCACACAGCTTGTGAGTGGCAGAGATGGGGTGAAAAGTAATTCTTCCTGGCCTACTTTGAGGGCTCCATACACAGCTATTACCTGAATAATTGTGTCGTCTTGATTCTTCTTTAGCCCCTTGAAGCAGCTGCCTTGAGCTTCTCTCTGTCTCTGCTAACTCTTCTGCCCAATTCAGGTGTGAAAGGCAAGCCTTAAGAGACCACCCACAGCTACTTCCCCTTCACACCAAGACCTCCTGCTGGCTTGGGCAGTGCTTACATCCTATGTGTCCTCTTATCTGAGGCTCTTGCTACTGACTTCTCATCCCTATAGCAAACCCCAGGGTCCTTGCCTTCTGTGTTGGGGGGGCATATCATATGTTTTACCCCCAGCTTTACTGACAAGGAGTCAACCCCACTCTGAAGCAGTAGACCTACTTATTTTCCATATGGCCTCTCCCAATAAACCTTTCCTTCCTATACCAAGTATCAGCTTTTAATCGGAGAAGAAGGTGGGGATACTGATTTTCTGCTTCTCATGGTCGTGAAATGCCAGCTGGAATGAGCTGCATTATGTGTGTTCTGTTGTAGCTGAATGGGGGAGGCCACTGTGGAACACTGCCATGATCCCTGAGTCCAAGCAGCCCTAAGATCTGGTGAGTCTAGAGTTGATCTGGCTTAACCTCCTTATTTCACCTCCCTGGGTCTATGTAGCAGGGACAGAAAATAACACGGCATGCAAACCAGGTCTCTCAAACATCTCTGGAACTTTCCCAACACCTTCCCCGGAGGGTTTCCTGGAAGCTCTCCTGGATCCTCCTCCCCAGACTACAATTCCCTAAGTGATAGAGTTTGAGACATGAGTTCTGATCAAGTTTTTCTCTGTATTTGTCTAGCATCATCTGGAAACCTTACCCAACCGAGAGCTGTACCATCTTCCTTGCAGCTGGGTCCTTTCCTGGGGTAGGCATGAGCTGGAAATCCTCAGTTCTGAGGGGCTCTGTCCAAGAATACAATGGGAGAGACCTAGCTCCACATTCTGACAGTTCAGCATGTAGAACCAGGCTGACCCTTCTTTCTGGGGTGAGGGCACCTGGGGCAGGGGCAGCTAGGCAGGGATTTCTCTGTGAGGGATCCTTGCTCATCTTGAACTAGGACAGGCACTTTTAGGAATATGGAGTCCCTGCTGCACTTTTCAACAGAACACACTATGGTTGGAGACAAAGAGTGTTCCAGATGATCCCTCATTACCAGCTTTCCACTTGGTCTAGCTCTTTAGGGTATGATGTGTAAGGTAGGAAAGAAAGCAGAGATGTGCTCTTGACAGGACATCAGCAATAAGAACAGAAAGGATCTGAGCCGATCAAAATCAAATTCAGTCCAACTCACTTCTGCATAAGCATCAAAGTGAAACTGGTGCTGAATTAGGGCTCTGGGAGGACGTCCAGGGGTCATGGGAACTACAGCTGAAGAGTGCCAAAGAGTTGCTTGAAGTTCAAGGTTATAGACAGCAGCCTCCGAGGATGGCAGGTCTGTTTTCTTGCCAGCCATTCCACCTTGTCTGACCAGCTTCCAAGCTCCAGTAAGGACTTGGAGCTTCCTGAGTGTCATTGGCCAGTGGTGGTGCCTGGGAATCATCCAGGTAACTTTGAATCTCTTTACACTGGGAAAGAGATGCATATGGCTTCAGAGGTTAAAAACTGTGGGAAGGTGAGAATGAGCATTTGGGAAGCCCTGTCCCCAAGGCAAGGAGTTCCAGGTCTGGCTGTGGCTATTTCTTAAAAATAAAATAAATAAATGACAACAGTGAACTAGAAAACAGAGAAATTCCAGTTGCCTTGTTGCCCTGGTGATAACAGGCTATTCTTTTCTCTCCTTTTAGACAAAAATTGCTCCAACCCAAAAAGAAGAAGTAATCAAGTCAGGCTCCACTGAGACAAATCATCTCTCAGACGCCTCCCAATGCTGTCAAAACCTTTTCTGGTCAGAAATGAAATGCCCTGATGCCATCTGCCCCTAGAAAAATCAAAAAGGGACTAGGACAACAGCTCAGACATGGCAGGAGAAGACCGTAGTGGGTAAGATGTGGGCAGAGAGCATAAGAGAATGTTCCTGGCCTCCCTGAGCCTGGGAGTCCTGTTGGAGATGGTCTTCCCACAGTGAGCTGGGTCCCTGGGCTCCGAGGCTCACTCTGTAGCTGCGTGGCCCTGTGCAAACTCTGGTTCAGGGTTGTTGAAGAATCCCGTGACATATGGATGGAAGTGTCATTGAACACTGTGGGAAGCAAGGTACTGTTATTCTCTGAGGTAATACAGCAGGGTCTTTTAATGCTAGAATCTCCCATTTTCACAATGAGGCATCTATTGTCTCAGAAAATCATCCCAACAACTCTCTGAGTAGCCAGGCCAGAAATCATTTATTTTCAGAGATGAAGAACAAACATGCATGGAGAAGGCGAGTGACTTTCCAAGATCACTAGGTGATAAATGGCAGTCTGCACACCCTGTCCTGCTCTTGTTCTGTGGTAGCCATCCATGCAAATTCTCATGCACAAAAGGAATAGCTCTGCCCTGGAATTCCATTCATTTGCTGACTAACAGATTCTTCATAAAGTTATTGACCTAAAGACTCAAACACTAGTCTTAATTTTAGAGTAACTAGGCTCATTTTCTGTCCTTTAAAAAGAGTGACATGTAAAATGACAGGGTTCCCCGAACAGTCTCTGAACTGGGGATGACTGAGGAGAGGTTGGCTTGACGTCTCTATGGGTTGCAGGATTCAGCAGAACTAGAAAGCTTTTTGGAGAATCCTTTCAATTTTCCAGCCAAAGTGCCCTGCTATGCGTATGACCTTTATTTCCTAGACTTTTCCAAAGGATGGAAAATATTGTGATGTCCAAAAAGGACTGAGATCATCCAGTGGGGCTGTGATTTCAGGAGGTTCAGAAAAACTGTGGGCAGACATGACTACTGAGGAGAGGTGTGAGGTAGGCGAGCAAGTTGTGGGGTGCCTTGCAGGCCCAGGAAGAAGGCCCAGCCCGGCAAGCATCCAGAAGGAAGTTCCAGAAGCAGCAAATGAGATTCTTCACCCTCCTCTGTGATGAGGTTAGATCTCCAAAGCAGGACTTCAATTAATCAAAGGAAAAGTGGTTATGAAACAGAATACCTAAAAATCAGGCCAAAACTTAGACAAGGAACTAGGAAAGAAAAGGAGAAGAGTCTAGTTATGGAACTGAGGTACCAGGAAAGAGCTCAATCAAAAAGGAATAAGTCAACCAGACATAGTGTTATACACCTGTAATCCCAGAGGTTCCAAAAGCTGAGGCAGGAGGGTTGCAGGTTCAAAGCCAACCTATAAGCTGGCCTCTGCAATTTAGTGAGACCTCAGCAACTTAAAGAGACCGTGTCTCAAAAAAATAAATAAATAAATGCTGAGGATGGGGCTTGGTAGGTAAAGCACCCCCTGAGTTCAATCCCCCAGGACCCCCGCCCCCCCCCCCCCCCGCTAAAAAATAAGGAACAAGTCAAGAGCCCTGCTCATTGGACCAGAGAGAATGTAAGGCTAGTGCCACAAGGTGACTGATCTAGTAAAATGCTGACCCAGCGTCACATGCCTAAAGGCCTTCAGGTATGGGGCTCAGGCATGGCTGAACCCAATGTTGACAGGAGGCAGATTCAACTTAAGATAGAAAAAAAGAGTTTAGCTGACCCACATGAAACTGAGTCTTTCCATTTCTTAATTCCCTCCCTCTCCACATTCATCCTGGGCATACTCAGATGCAGGTATGGAAGAACACACAAGCATGTTATTTAAAAGGGCTGGTGACACTTGCGAGGACCAACTCAGATAGGAGAAGAATCTGCTCTTTCATTGAGTCGTGTTGATTGCTCCTTCAGGTTTCTCATGCCCTCACTTGAGAGATTCTAGTTCTAACATGTTCTAATGCCAGTTTCAGCCGCTGTCACAAAGGCAATCCCCTAGAGAGTGCAGGCTGGTTTTCGTAAATTAGTAAAGTAGCCCATGAGAGACAACAGGGAGTGGTAGAGACTGTGGTAAACTTGAGAGCACGTCTCTAAGGGGACCATGACGGCCAGCTCTGGCCAGCCAACCAGCCTACCTTCTACTAAGGAAAAAAAGAAAGAGAAGCCTAACCTGGGACTCCCTGGGCTAACGTCAAGGTGTCAGTAGGGCCGTGTTCCTTCCTGGAGGTCCCAGGGTGGAACCTCTCCCTTGCTGATTCAGGTTGCTGGCAAGACCCTGTCCTTGCAGTAGCAGCCATGAGATCCCCTTGCTGGCAGCAGCTGAAGCCATTCTCAGCCTCTCAGAAGCCACCTGCATTTCTTAGCTCATGGACTCCTTCCCCCGCCCCCATCGTTAGGGTTGGCGATGGTGAAACAAGCTCCTCTCATGCTTTGAGTTTCTCTGCCTCTCCCACCATCACGCCTCTCCAGTCCCCTCCTCCGCCTGCCAAATCCCCTTGTCAGAGCCCCCCGGGATAATCCAGGATAATCTCTGTTTTTAGGTTCTCTAACCTTGATTTCATATCCCAAATTCCTTTCTCCATGTACAATAGCGTCTTCACAGGTTCCAGGGATCAGGTGTGGCCACAACAAAGACTGCCTCCTACAGTCCTGAGAGTAACCTTCCTAGAAAAGAGTGTGGAAACTCAGAACCAGGCCTCCGAGGCCATCCCTGCCTCCTAGACCTTGGGTGCACCATTGTCTTCTTGCCATGTCTTTCTGATTATCCTTTCTCAGTCGCCCTGACTCCTCCCCTGCTTCTTCCATGAATATCAGGCTCCCACAGCTCTACTCTCTAGCTTATCTTCTTGCACTGCACTGCAATGCCCTGCTCCCAGTTTCTCCTCCAAGCTTAGAATCCTAATTTCTAATTACATAATGGGACACTGCAAATTTAATATATCCCAAACTAGCCTTGGCTCCTTCACTCCCTTTCTCAACCCCAGACAGAAAACATAAGCATCTCCTTCACCTTCCCTCAGCCTTGCCTCCTGCACTTCAGCCTGGGGAGCAGGAAGTCCTCGGGACTTGGTCTTGGAAGCATCTCTCCATCCAGTCCTCCCCTCTGCCTACTGGTACAGCCTAGGTCAGCCCCCATCCTGTGTCAGCAGCACTGGGAAGTCACCTCCTAATCTTAGCCTCCTCACTCCTCTCTCTACACACATCCGACACATTCTACTTCACCCCACACATCAAGACCAACTCTGATCTGTTCCATGTGGAAGACTATGTATCCCCCTTCTTTGCCCGAATGAACAGAGCTTCCATTCCTTATCAGAGAACACCAGGCCATAGATAATGTGACTCTAATACAAGCTTCCAGGTTTATATCTTCCTGTGTCTCTCCCCCTCACCCACACATCCACACCTCTCTCTCTCTCTCTCTCTCTCTCTCTCTCTCTCTCTCTCTCTCATTCATTCCACTTTCCAGCAATAAGAGTATCTAAAATACCCTTCCATTATCCTGGTGACATCAGCCATCAGTCAGTATTTAGCAATATGAAAACTAATTCCAGTGGGAAAACCACATTGTAGAATTAAGCAAACCCATGAAGTAGTTTTGAGTTGAAAAAAGAAAAATTGATCTATATCATTGTTTGACTAAGGAAATAAAGGATCACTTGAATAGTGAGAATAAGATTTTTTTCTAAATCACATGATGCAGACCTTGAGCGTTAATTCTTCAGCCTGAGACTATCTACATAAGAAACATATGATAAAGGAGAAAATAATAAAATATTGGTTTAATTTGGAGGGAACAAAGAGTAGAAAGTGTGATTTATGCTAATAATCCAGTTTTTATTAACAGGGGATATATAGTGATCTAGATCTTTACACCCTTATAGACTTGGATCATATACTTTTGAGGGCAGAGACTGACCTATTTTTCTTTGTACCTCCAGTACTTAACACAGTACTTAACATGCATGTAATCGTTTCCCCCTCAAAATATATTGCATGCATAAGTAAATGAATTGCACTAGTTGCTGGGAATGTAGAAGAAGAAACAGAATATGAAGTTTATGCCTTTGGTGACCTTAGACAGAGCTATTACCAGAAAATCAAATCAATGGTCAATTACAATTGTGATAGCACCAGAAAGAAGAAACATCAGATGCTATTTACTTAATGAAACTTTTTAATGTTCCAATAATTCTTGATGCCTTAAGAACTGTTTTATTTTTTAGGAAGCACAAACAATCCATTCACACCAAAGAGTGACAGAAAGAGGGAGAGGAAAGAAGAAAGAACAAGAGAAATGGAGAGATCTGCCTCCACCTTCACACGAGCCTTTTCAGATACTTGTGTCAGAGTGACATGAAATCTCCCCCTTTTCTACAGCTGTAGACAAAACATCTGCCCCTCATTTTGAGTGCCTCCAACTGTTCCAAGTGTCACCCCTGAGGAGGGGGTGGCCCATGTCTATAGTGCTTCAGAGTGCCAGTCCTCACCCCTACACCTCCAGCAGGACTGTGGGTCACTAGCCAAAATAAAGCACATCCACACTCAACGCTGTGGGCCTGCCATCCTCTTCTTAAGAAAAAAGGTGTCAGGGAAGACAATACGTCGCTTCCCAGGGGGCTCCCAGGATCATTTCCAATTAAGAGATTAGTGGACTTTACACTTCCCATCCTGGACCAAGAACACGGTTGGCCAGTCTCCTCCAGTGGCTTTGACACCTGGACTGTCCCCTGACCCCCATTGGGGCCAGGAGGCTCTGCTGCCATTCCTTCAGAGCTCAAGGTTTTCCTCAAGGCAAGCTGGATTTAAATTAAATCTCTGTGCTTCCCAGTAACTCTGTGATCTCAGAATTACTAAACCCCCATCAAGACCCGTCACCCTTGTGTGTGAAATGGAGCTGACAACAGGTACCTCCTAGGGTTATTTGAGGAATAACTTGAGATAATGTGTTTCTTATTCTTGAAACATTGGGGCTTTTCCTGCTCTCTTTCTTTTTTATTTCTAGTGTAATTTCTGAAAACATACCATATATGATTTTTTTTTATTCTTCAAATTTTGATAAAATGTGCCCAGAATGTAGTCTACCTTGGTGGTTGGAAAGAATGTGTATTCTACTACTGTTACATGCAGTGGCCTATCGATGTCAGAGTATTCAGTTGATTTATGGTGGTGTCGATTTCAACTATGTTCTTACTGATTTTCTGCCTGCTTGATCTATTTCTGATAGAGGGGTGTTGAGGCCTCCACTACAATAGTGAACGCATCTCCATCTCCCTGCAGGTAGTTTTGACTTTGCCTCATATTTTAACACTCTGCTGGGTACACACACATTAGGAACAGTTAAGTCCTGGAGAACTGACCTCGGTATCACAAAGTAATGCCCCTCTTTATTTCTGATCAATTTTCCCTGAAATCTGCTCTATCTAAAATTAATAGGGCTTCTCCACTTTCTTTTGATTAGCATTAGGAGTCTATCTCCATCATCTTACCTTTAAACTACATATGTCTTTGTATTTGAAGAGGGTTTCTTGTAGACAAAATATAGTTGGGTCTTGTTTTTGTTTTTGTTTTTTAATCTATTCTGACAATCTCTCAATTGGTATCTTGAGACCATTAATATATATGATTATTGGTATATTTGGATTAATATCTACCATGTGTCTTGTTGATTTTTCTTCATTTTCTTGTTTTTTGGTCCCATTTTTGTCTTCCACTCTTTTTTTTTTGCCTTTGTGGGTTTTAATTGAGCATTTTATATTGTTGTATTTTCTCACCTTTCTTAGCATAGCAATTCTACTTCTCTTTTTACTCTTTCAGTAACTTAGCATTTGCAATGTACATTTACAATTAACTCAAGATACTTCGATCAAGACTGTACCACTTCCTGGGTAGTGTTAGCATACCTTACAGTGATAAAATATTCGCAGCATTTCCCTCACATTTTGTATATAACTGGTGTCATTCATTTCACTTAAACGTAACCTACATGCATCAAATACATTGTTGCTAATATTTGGAACACAATATTTTCTGTTAGAGCAATTAAAAATAAGATAAAATAAATATTTTTTATCTTCACTTGGTCATTTTTGATGCTCCTCCTTTTCTATATAATTCCAAGTTTCTGACCTATATTATTTTCCTTCTCTCTGAAGAACTTCTTTTAACATTTCTTGGCAACCAATTGCCTCAATTTTCGTGTGTCTAAGAAATTACTTATCCTTCTTTTTGAAGGATAGCTTCACAGGCTACAGAACTCTATTGGGTGAGGTTTTTTTCTCTTGAGGCCTTAAATACTTCATTGTATTTAACTCTCTTCTTGCTTGCCAGGTTTCTCAGGAGAAATCAGATGTATTTGTTATCTTTGATACTCTGAAGTAAGAATTTATTTTTCCTTCAAGATTTTTTTATCTTTAATTTTCTTCAGTTTTATTCAGATGTGAATAACTGTAAAATCTTTGTCCTTTATTCTGTCTGATAATTCTCTGAGCTTTCTGGATTTGCAGTTCGATATCATTTTTGGAGAAGTTCCCAGTTGTTATGGTTTTAAACATTCTTTTGCCCCTTCCTTCCTTCTTTTCCATTTGTTGTTACCATTATTTGTGTGTTATGCCTTTTGGATTTTCTGTTCTTCCCCACCCACCCCACCCACCCCCCGTCTCTTTCCTCTTCGCTTTTCAGTTTTGAAGGTTTCTATTGACAAATCCTCAAACTCAAAGAGGCTTTCCTCACTATGTCCAATAGGGTCCATCCAAGAAATTCTTCATTTTTATTTTAGTATTTGATCTCTAACATTTCTCTCTACTTCCATTAGCCATTTATTCTCATATATTGTCCGCTTTTTCCATTCAACCCTTCAACATCTTAGTTATAGTTTTAAATTCAGTCTGATTATTCCAGCATCCCTGTCATATCTGTGTCTGGTTCTAATGCTTCTTATGTCTCTTTAAACTGTGTTCCCTGCCTTTCATTGTGCCTTGTCACTTTTTGTTGAAAGCTAAACATGATCTACTGGATAAAAGAAAATGTGGTAAATAAGCCTTCAGTAATGTAGCCATAGGTGTGGGAGGAAGGAAGCATTCCAGTGTCCTAAGATTAGGTCCTAGGCTTTCAGGAAGTCTGTGCCTCTGTGAACCTCACACGTGCTTCTTGGTTTTTCCTTTTCCACCCTCTTAGGTTTATAGGATTGTTAGAGGAGACCACAGTTGAGGAGACCAGGTTGATTAAACTTTGATAAGACCCTAGCATGTTAGATTCTGAAAAGATAGTTTATTCTCTTGAGGGCTGCCCTTTTTAAGAAGAGCAGAATGCACTGGCGTATTTCAAAATGGTTACTTGTCTCCATCTCATGTTAGGAACCTGATGGGATGTTTTTTCTCTGATTTTCACTGTAAGAACCATAGAGCTCCTGGAGGTAAATCTTACAAAGCATTGGGGGGCTCCCCCACAACTGGGTCCCCTTGAAATCATTCTCTTTCAGAATTGCCCACATTGATCCTCTAGCAATTTGTCAATTGCAGTTTAGTTTTTCCCACCCGGAACTTGTTCCCACGGAGGTGGGTTTCTTCTGTAACTTGTGGTTCTCTGTATCTGCCTGTCTCTCTCTCTAGTTTGGGGGCAGACATTTAACCTCACTCCTACGCAGGATCTAAGAAGAGTTGTTGATTTTTCAATTTGTTCAACTCTTTATTTGTTATTATGAGGCAGTGATCACTTCTAAGCTCCTTATATGCTAGATCAGAAATTAGAAATCCTTGGAATGTTTTTTTAAATGATGCCAGCTGGGGCCCACACAGGTTCTGATTTAATTGGCTTGGCCTGAGGTGGGACCCAAGGGTTTCTAGTGTGCAGCCAGGATGGAGAACCACTGATTGTTGTAATATACATTTTATTGCTGAAGAAGGAGAGGACAAACACAAATTTATTTGCCTCTAGTCACTCTAGTCGGCCTGGCTCCAGTTCTTTGGGTCCCTATAAAAGAAATGTCCATATGATGGTGGTTGTGCTCCCGGCTCTGCCCTTCGCAATGTTCTGTGTGCTTATGTCAGGAATTAGGGAAGTGGACAGCTTTCATTTTTGCTACTTAAGTAAAAAGTTGCCTTCCTGATACTCACTCGACATTTCTATGGTTTTGAGAACAGTGACGGTTTGCCTCGATCCTCCTAATCATTACATAACTCCATAGTTCCCTCCAGGTGTATGATAAAAAATGTACAAATGTACCTTACCAACTTCTTAAAAATAAGCATAGTGATTTATTTCTCCCAATGAATATGTCTGTGCCTTTTTCTCATGCCTATATAGTCTCTCCACTTAGCACAATCTCTATGGCATTTTACTTGGAGAATATTATAAGATCTCTGGTAAATTTAAATATTTTTTTCTATGACTTCACCTACCTTTCCCCAATCTTTATTTTAAAAAGTGAAAGAAAGGAAGGAAGGAAGGAGGGGGTGGGGGGCACACAGGATGTAGCAGGTATTCCCTAAAGTATGTAAGCAATGTCACATTTTTATATTTTTAAAGATTTTTAACAAACTTAATTGAAGTATATTTAACCTACTATACAATTCACCCATTTAGAATATATCGCCAATGTTTTAATAGTATATGCACAGGGTTGTATATCACAAACACAATATAACATAGAACATTTTTGTTGCCTACTCCTTAAAAAAAATACCTACTGGCATTCGCTCTCTATTTCTTCCCACTATTCTCCCCAGCTCTATGCAACCACTAAACTACTTTAGGCCTATAGGTTTGCCCATGCTAGACATTTCACATAATTGGAATCACACAATATATGACCTTTTGTGACTGGCTTCTCTCATTTACAGAATGCTTTACTTAACAATGTTTCTGTAAGTTGTAACAGTATTTCATTCCTTTTTATTGTTGAAGAGTATCTCACAGGTGTGGATATACCACTCCATCTAGGATTCATCAGTTCATGGACATTTGAACTCTTCCCACTTTCTTGACTATCATGAATAATGATGGTGTGAACACTCATCTACAAGTTTTGTACAGAGGCACGTTTTCATCTTCCTTGTATATATATTGTTAGACCAGGACGCAAGAAAAGACCACTGGCTCCAATTAAAATCAAATTAAAGCAAGCTTATTATTTCGACCGGCCGGACTGCCTCTCCCTCCCAAAACGGCGGGAACAAGACAGCACCCCAGCTTTCCTGCAGCCCAGCTTTATAGCCCAGAAAGTTACACAAAGGGGGGTTACAGATAACAGAACTCTGACAAGCATCACACTAATGGTAGTTTACACTAATGGTAGTTTACATTTTTTGCTGGCCCCAACATCAGAATTTATGAGGACCATTAGAGCCTCAGAGAGGGTCGTTGTCTGGCCAGGGAAGGCCAAGATTTGTGAGGCGTCACTAAAGTTTCAGAGAGGGCTGCTATCTGGTCAGAGAGCCAGGCATGGGTGAGTTCAAGGCACAGGCAGGCATTCCAAGCAGGTTCAGAATTTGCAGTAATTTATAGTAAAGCCAAAATTATCTTTTCATGGCTTTGTGGCAAGATGCCCAA